ATGGGGTAAAATCTCATAAATCCTTTTTTAAACACTTCAGCAGTAGGTCTGTCTGCTGAGCCATAGATTATCACTGCAAAAGACAAGGTAAGGCCATGGCAGAAGTGTGCTCTTTATGGACAAACTTGAGAAGGTTCCTGAGTTTATTTATTTATGGGTGACTTGTACAGGATCTGTCTGATTGAAGTGACTGTAGAAGAAGCTATGGGACACAAGAGCAAAACAAACCTTAATACTTTGGTGCAAGTGAATGATGTGCGCCCAGGAGGTCTGCCAGACCTCACAGATGAAGTAGCTGAAGTGCTGGCTACGGGGACAAACCCCTTACTTGAAACAATCTTAGGCCCTGAGGCCTAAAAAATTGACAGATGTGACATCAATTTTCTAAAAGGGTTCTGGAGGAGATCCAAAGAACTGGCAGAGCCTGACTGAGCCCATTATTAGAAACTGTAGTAAAAAAAAAAAAAAAAAAGAATGAAAAATAAAATATGCTGAGGAGGAGACACCATGACTTTTGTAAAGAGAAGCCCTACCTCACAAACCTCCTGAAGTTCTTTAAAGGCATTGGGATGTATGTGGATAAGGGAGCTCCTATTCATAGAGTATGCTCAGGCTTCTAAAAGGTTTCTGGTAGTCTGTCACCAAATTCAGTTCTCTCATGGAGGAACAGTTTGTTGAAAGACAGTCAGCAGAGGATAAAAATAAATGGTGAGTTCTGACTAATCACAAATAGGATCTTCAGGCTCAAGCAGGTCCTTGGGTGGACTCCTCAGCTCTGGCTGAGTAGTAGTCAAAGAAGCAAATGCACTGCTAAGAATAGTCACACTGGAAAAGGGACAGAGAGGTAAACGGAGTGCCCTGGGGCCACTTCAGTAATGCTTGGTGCATTTCACTTCAATATCATGTGCAGATCTCAGAAGTGAAGAAGAAGACTGGGAAAGTTTGGAGAAGGGTTAATGGAGCAGCTTCTGTACAAGAAGCAGCAAAGTCGAATAGGGCTCATCAGCCTGGGAAAGAGGTGGCTGAAGAGAGATCTAACAAAGGTTTGTAAAATCCTGAGAGGCATGGAAAAGGTGACTAGCAAATGACTGTTCTTTGTCTTTTCCAAAATAAGCAGGAAGGTCATCCAAAGAGATTAGTAGCTGCTCTGTTCCAACAGGCAAAAAGAGGCTCTTTTCTCATAAAATATAGAACTCCTTGCCGTAGGAGGCTGTGGATGTGAAAAGCTCGCACAGGTGCAGAACACAAATGTGCAACGTCATGGAAGAAAAGCCCACCACAGGTTATCAAGTACAAAGACCTTTGGCCCAGGAAGTCACTGAGCTGCAAAATGTGTGAGAGTATTCTGGGGAAGTATCACGTCCCTTTCTACTCTTGTGTAGGCATTTGCTGTTGGCCACAGTCAGAAACAGCTCCTGGGGAGATGGGCTGCTGGTCTGACCTAATACAACTGTATTTATGTTATGGTTTTATGATCCTTCCACAAGACTGGAAACCGCATGACCCAGAATATCTAGCCTGGATAAAGCAAGGGATGCTACGTGGCTGGGAATGGCCTTACCAGGAATAATGGGAGGGTGAACTAGAGGGCAGCTTGCAAGTCCTTTCTGATAGTAGGTGTTTTAATTAAAAGCCATTGCAATTAAATGTGGAGCCTGTGACAGAGGGAAAAAAAAGAAGGAAAAATTACAGAAACATCTGAAGACAGCAGCTTGCACAATGCTTTCCCCGCAGGCTTCCACCAGCTGCTGACGGTGTATTCAAGCCATGAGGTCAACACTTCTTTCGTAAACTCTTGGCTCCAGGATATGATACACGCACCCCTGACACGTGTTCTTGCCCTCACTGAAGCAGGGTCTTTCAAGTTTTTGTGGATTGAGTCCTGGGTATTTATGTTTCTATCTTTAGTTACAAAACACAGTGACACATTTTTAACTGTAAAGCCTTTAGCTAATCATTGATAGACTGGTGCCTATAAAAGAGTGCTGTAGTTATTCAGAGTCTACAACTTCCTCTTTTAAAAGTGCTTATATATTCCTTGACTGTTTAAACCATATTTTCATCCTGTAGAGAGCAGAACTTGTGTGATATACAGAGATCATCCTGGGATTTTCTTACCGTCTAAAACAGGAACATGTCCTAGTAGTCATTCAGTTACCATTTCACAAGCTGCCCCTCAGAAATTTAGACCTGAAAGCAAACTTCAGTATTTGCTGGAAAGAGGAACCAGGTATTGTTACTCCTGTTGTTCCTGTTGCCCTCCATTTGGGATTTTAAATAGGGCATGTGTCTTTCCTGCATGAACTGATACGCCTGGGCTCTCCCAGCTATGGCTGCGTAGCTGAAGCTGCTATTCTGTGCCTGGGGAAAGTCAACATTAAGTGCAGATCAGTGCTTTTACATGAATATTTACCCACCAGATCAAGATATCAGCTTGTACATGAAATGGTTTATAACCTGAATCCTCAGATGTAGTGTGTATGTGACCAAAGGAAACATGCTGCTAAACTAATCCTACAAACACCCTCCAGTAGCCAGGGGTATATATTACTTTCTAAGAAGCCTAATGTCAGGAGGTAAGGCAAAGGAATAGATTAATTGAGGTGAATGTTATGAAATTAAACAAAAAAAAATTGCATCCAGGGGATCCAGAGGTTTCTCCACTGTTCATCTCACTGACTGTAAGACCACCCAGCCTCCTGCTGCTGCAGCTGGCCGGGAGAGGCAGGACTTGAACTGAAGAATCTTCAATATGGCTCTTGCAAGATTGTCTCCTAATGTGTGTAGTAACGGTAATCAAAAGAAGTGCAAGGTCTGCCCCTCCTGTCTATATGGTCAACCCAGCAGTGATACCCAGTCAGAATATCCTAGTGTTGTTCAGCAGAGTGCTATAGTGCTGCATGAGAATCCAATACTGCGTTGGAGTGAGAAGAAACATGACATTCAGCCTAACATAATGACTCAAATCTGTTCTGGACATCAAAGCTGCAGGTGTCACCCTGTGATAGGTCCTAGAGTCTGCAGAGGAACGCAGGTTCCCTGCTTCGGACCTACAGTGCTGACAGACAAGGTTCCTGCTAATGCATCCAGGACTGCAGCCCCACTGCAGATGAGGCCAAAGTGAGCTGATGCAGTGCAGACATCACTGTGGATCTGCAGACCCTGTGTCACCCATTCTGACTGCAGAGCTCCTTCTGCTCTCTTCTTACAGGTCTCTGATGGAGCTGGGCAAGTAGTATCTTCCTGGGTGCCCCTCAGGGACGAGAGGGAGGAGAGGGGAGCAGTCTCCTCTTTTCTTTCCTACAGCAGGCAATGCCCCAGCGCTCCACAGCAAAGTGCCAGAGCAGAGCACCTTCTTTCGCCATGTCCATCAGAGCGGGTGAGGTCTTCAGGGACAGGTCCTGTCTCTTCAGCGAGATCATTTCAACTGCACATCTTATGGGGGAGCTGGTCTACAGAGGAGGGCCAGCAGGGATGAGAAAGACAGAAAAAAATCCTGCCTCTGCCATTGCACCCATTATTCAAAGACTGAATACTGTGGCAACATTTTTATGTACTTCCATCAACATCACACAAAGCTGAAAAGGTGTTGCCAGCCACATCCTGCATAGTACTACTATGGTTTTTCCAGATTCTCTCAGGCTGGCATTGATATAGGCAGTGAGAGGAGGGTATCTCTGTAGCTCTGGGGATTTTAGCTTGAGATAGGAGGATCCCAAAGGGAAACAGAGAAAAATGAGGCAATTTAGCAAAACTGACAAGGATTAATGAAGTGATTCTGTTCCCCTGTCCCTGCGTTTCCAGATGAAAAGGCTTCATCAAAACAATATTGTCTGTTCTATGTCTATGGGGTGATGAGGGCCCTGCCTGCCCAGACAAATTGATTTCTTTTTTTTTTTCTTACATTTTGCCATCCAGGATTGTATGTTTGGGCACTCGCAGGTGAGAGAGAGAGGACTGGGTTTACAAGCTGTTGCAGGCACTAGAACCACAGCAGCAACTATGCTGCAGTGGTCTAGGGACAGCTGACAGCCAGGTGCCCTCAGAGACACCTCAGCTTTCCATAGATGAGCTCTGCAGAGAAACTAAGAACATCCATTAAATGGGGAGGGAGGGGGGAAATCTGATAAGCGCATAAACCAGCAACTGACTTTTGAAGACAAATATGATGTGGATGAATTGTATCACAGTTGCCAGTACAGGCTTGCTTTCATGCAGCAGTTTCTTTGGTCTACCTGTCAGGCTATCTAGATCATGAATTTTGCAACTGCAGTTGTCCCTGGGATTAACTGCTCTTGTCCACAGCATATAACATTTTAAGGCATGAGGTGAAAATTACAGGAGTCAACATGTGGGGACAGGCAGCATGTGAAACTATGCAACCAGGAGACAGGAGCCAAAAAACAAGTGGTATGAATTCTCCAGGCCTGCCATGTGGCGAACAAGCTTGATTTGTTGTTTTTTTACTGAAGTGCATTGGGCTTGGGGTTTTTCAGTCAAAAGTCAAGTATGAATTGTTTCTCCCACCTTCCCGTTTCTGAGTGATTGATCATTCAGAGATGAGCAATGCCAAGTGAGAGCATTTATGCAGAGTGGTTGCAGGAGAAGGGTGAGAGGGACGCGTGGGTGACTGAAACACTTCAGTGGCTGCTGCCACTTCTCTGCCCCTGACAAAGAGCTACAGGCTTGCAGAGGTGGCTCAGAGGGACTGAAGAGGAATGCTACATGGCTGATGGGGTAGCAACTGGTAAGTGTTACAGATGGGTGCTGACCACGCTGAGGGCCATACCTTGTGCTGTCTACAAGGTTTGTACAGGCTCTGTGTGTGCGTGTGCTGCCTGTGAGAGAAAGCCTGCTACTGCTGTGATTAATTGATTTTTAAGAGATTAAGGACTGTAGTAAAGTGACTATTTCCAGTTCTGTCCCCATAGCAGATGTGTGCTGTGGAAGGGTTGTGACACACAGGCTTTCATGGTCTCTCTCTCTCTCTCTCTCTCTAGGTTCTCAAGCATCTGCGACACTTAAATTTCACCAATAACATGGGGGAGCAAGTGGATTTTGATGAGTTTGGGGACCTGGTAGGAAATTACTCAATAATCAATTGGCATCTCTCTCCGGAGGATGGCTCAGTTGTCTTTGAAGAGGTCGGGCACTACAACGTCTATGCCAAGAAAGGGGAGCGGCTCTTTATCAATGAAAACAAGATCCTGTGGAGTGGATTCTCTAAGGAGGTAAGTGCTTAAATCCTCACAGCAACGTTTCCCAAGTTTCTGCAAGCTGAAATTTGAACTAACCCTGCACACTCCTTGTATTATGGCTCCGTGTCTCATTGAAAGATCCATTCATCTTACTGTATACATGGTCTCTGCTATAGTCTTTCACATCCTTGTTACACACTACTGGAAGTAACGGGCAGCTGCTTCTCCCCTCCTATACATTTGATGAGCCTGGGTATTAATGGTTTAAAAAATGCCTTTTTTTCTGGCCCAAGTAGATAGCTTGGAATTTTGCAATGCTGTTTCCAAAAGGATGAGAAATTCATTACGCAAATCTGGTTGTTGACTGAGTCAAAGTTTCCTGAGCTCAGCAGTTTCGTTGCTGAAAACAGTAATCTCTTCCACTCTCAATATTTCTGTATCAAGAAGAGTCTCTTCCTGCTCCTAGTTAAATTCACAACTCTTTCTGCTGGCTTTACCCTCCAAGTCCCAGAGCCTTCCTCACACCCTTGCCCTGCAAACCAAACAGAATAAGCCCTGTCAATCTTCCCAGGTTAACTTGGACATGGTGCTCAAATAGCAGGAGATGCCGGTACCTGCTACGTTTTTTTAATCTACCAGAAGATGCTTGTGCAGTCTCAAAAGTACATGATGTAGGTATTGACTTTAGTCAGGCCTAAGTCCTTCTCCACTTTCTTGCATATGTTAGATCATTTCAGCATAACTGTATCATCACTAGCAGCCAGGGCTAGGTCTCCCCTGCATGATGGGAACATGGTGCAGAGATCTCCAGACAAGAGCCAGGAGAGCTGCCATCATGGCCAGCAGCCCACTCCAGCCTAGACAGAAATCCCAGCTCCCAGAGGGCATCCTGAGTGGGCATCTGGCTTGTGGCCTGGGAGCATTAGTTTAGAAAAGTTACTGACAGGCCCTGCTGCAATGTTTAGATGCGTTAAATCAGCACCTGCTTAATGAACAAGGCAATTCAGTTCCAGGTGATTATTCACGTTGCCTGACAGATCACGTAACTGCTTCTGCAGTAGCTACACTTACCTAATATATTTACACCACCAGTTAAGCCTTACCTTTACTCCAGATACCCCAGCTTCACTTATGGTTTAAATCCAGAACTCTCTAAAGGAGGCATGGGTCAGGCAGAGCACATTACTACAGAAATACTGAGCTCAGGCTTTTCTAAGCCCAGCTGGAGTCTCTGAGCACAAACCACAAGTGGAATTAAAAACCCCTGATTTTCTAAACCCTCATTCTGATCATTGCAAATGCCACTAGCACCTTTTCCAACAGTTAGGATTTTACTGTTTTTTACTTAAACTATGTAATTGTGTTCTCTCAGTCTAAATTCCTCTAACAGGGCAATATTTATCTTCATTCTCCATCCTAAACTGTTAAAAACGCGACTGGATGTTGACGACTGTCATGCCAGAGCATGTAAATTGTGTGCCAGCAGAGGGGTTTGTGATCTCTATGTCTGCTGCAGCTTTTTTTCCAGTTTATAGAGTTTGCATTTCTTCCAGATAAAATGCTCTGCTCAAAGAGAGTAGCCAGTACTTCACTCTCTGAAGCCTTCTGTGCCCGCCATCCTCAAAAAAAGATTAAACGTAGTTAATTTTAACACAGGAACTTCAGCATTGGCCAGACTTGCAATAGAACAACTTAAAAAGTAGGTAAGATAGATAGATTCATTTTGGCAGAACTTGATGAAATTCCCCACAGAATACTTAAGAAGGCAGCCAAAGCAATCTCAAAAGTATTAGCAATTTGTCTTTGAGAAATGTGGAGGATGGGTGATGTCTCAAAGGATTAGAGGAGGGTAATCGTAATACCTGATTTTAGAAGCAGATATAGGAGAGCCAAGGAAATTACACACAGTGGAGCTGAGCTTCAGTAACCTAAAAGACTTGATAAAAAAAATTATTGAACAGTTTATAAACACTTAGAGGATAATAAACCAACATGGATTTGTCAAGATGAAATCATGTCAAACCAATTTAACTTTCCTCCTTGGAAGCTCAGTCAGTTTAGTAGACAATGGGGAACCAGTGCATGACTTCAGTCAGGCCTTGGATTCAGCCCTGTTCAAAATCATGAGTGGCAGCCTAGGGAAAGACAGTCTAGACTGACAAAGTCCTCCTGGTGGATGCACTACCTGCCGAAAGCCTGTCCCAAGGAATAGGTATTAACAGCACACTGTATTCATAGCAATAGGTACTAACTAAGTAAAGAGTACTTCAAGTGGCGAGCTGCAGGGATTTGCCCTGGATAGGTGTCTGTCCAATTAATTATGCAATCCTGATTAACAGTTTAGAAACAGTGTTCCCAAACAGTGCTGCAGCTATACTTCAGAGTAATAAGCAACGGCCCCCGCTCTCACCTGCCACAAAATGGGCATCTCCACATAGGAGTTGCCACTACTGAGGGCTTGCTTACCCTGTGGCTGAGGTCAATGCCTGCCCACAGGAAATTTCCAAACCATACCCCGGACTCACTGCCTAAGTGCACCCACACAGGAGGTTCCTGGAGATCAGCAGGTTAGCAGCGCTTGGGCAAACTAGCAGCAAACTTCCAAAAAGGTGAATGGAGGCTTCCAACCGGAGCAGCCCTTAAGTATGTACAGATCATTGTACTTTGCTGGCAGGGGAAATTGTGGGTTTAACTTCCCCGAGCTGAGAAAGCCATGGTCTGTGTCAGCTCCCTTTCCTTAATTTAGCTGGGAAAAGGTGAGGTCAACCCCAGGTTGTGCTTCTGTGTAAAAAAGGCCCAGGCTTCCACTGATTTTGCTGAACTCCTTGTTGCCAATGTGCATTGGGCATGTGATGAGCATGCACCATGCAACCACTGGCTCCCAGGATATGACCATGCCCAGGTGGGCTCACACACACCATAAATGCACAGCCACCAGGTGACGCAGCTCATCATTTGTAGCAGCAGAAGTCTGGAAGCCTTTGCATCTACATATAGCTGCTGATTTGCATCTTTTGATGCTCAGTGTTCTAAAACCAGGGTGTTTCTTTCTTTCATATGAAAACTCCTCTTGTTTAATTAATTTACCTTTTTTGTTTCTGGGTTGGAGAGGGTCTTCAGAAGAACAGGAGGAAGCGGGTTTCAAGAAGCTGTTTTAATTCCCATAAATCGTAAGCAGTCAATATGAAATACATGGGACTGGGGATCAGCAGTCAGAGCCCATCATCTGCAAGGCTGACTCAAATTCCTGCCAGTAGAGATTGATTGTCTTTTCTTTTAACCATCTGACAACTCTTTTCTGGTATGTGTATCATGGGTCACATACCAGTTGTCAGTGCTTACAATACAATAGAGATTACAAAGATCTGCTGATCTTCCCTACCATCCCTTGATGTGTTCTTTCAAACAAATATCACTGCAGTGGGTTGCGGAAGGACTATTGTGCAAAATCTGTCTGCTCTTCGGAGGGAAGAGGTGAGCCTCTGAGGCTCTCCATGCAGCATGCTAATCAAGCAGTAACACCCTTGAAGGAAGCCCAAGGTCCTGCTGTAGAAAGGCTGCATGTGGGCCACTGCCACCATTAACCCTCCTCGGGCTCTTTTCTTGCAGGTACCTTTCTCTAACTGCAGCAGGGACTGCCTCCCAGGCACGAGGAAGGGCATTATCGAGGGAGAGCCCACCTGCTGCTTCGAGTGCGTGGACTGCCCTGACGGGGAGTACAGTGATGAAACAGGTAATACCCCCAGAGCTGCTCTGGGGTTTGCAGAGGACCATGCGAGCCCTCTGGGCATCACCTGCAGTTGTGCTGAAATCGCTTCCCTACAGTGCTGACCCGGAGGCTGCTTTGCTGGGGGGGCTTCACAGAAAGTCTGGGGGGACTTCTTCTGAAAAGCTTATGGGATTCGAGTCCTGTGGTCCTCAGGTCCTGTCTTCTGCTAAGTCTGCTTGTCCCTTCTGCTCCGCATTAGGAAAATTAAGACAGAGAACTTGAAAAAGGACTTGCATATAGGAAGCCTCTCAGGCAGCCACAAGCAAATTCCATTGCACTGTAGCAATAGCTTTTCTTCCTCCAAAAGCCTAGAGGAAGGAGACACACCCTACCCTAATCCTAAATTCTGTAGTTACCTCTCTGCTTTTCCTCATGTTGTCAGGGCTTTATTTCATGCTTTACAAAGAAATAAAGTCCATTCCATCCCTGACTTCACAAGCAGAAAGGGATATTTCCTTTTACGGGGTCACCAACCACAGCTTCTATTGAGCACTGGCACTGCAAGAGACCAGAATCTCTGGGTCCTATCAAAGACCCATGGACATCTTTGTCATTGGTTTCAGTGGGAGCTTGGATTGAGCCACTCAGGTTCTGCAGTGGAGGGAAAAGGTAACCTTAGTTTTAGAGCTGGTTGAAAAAATCTGAATTTCCAACACCATTAGTGCTCCCTCAGTGTTGGGCATCCCCGGGGTAAGGAAGGCAAGTGAATCCTTTCAGAACAGCAGTTCCCTCCACACCACAGAGACCTCAGGATCCCCTCACACCCTCTCCGGCAGCACTAGTCCCAGCACATGCTGCAGACCTTGCCCGAGATGAAAACTGCAGTAAGCTGCGTGCAAGACTGAACAATTGTTCTCCTTTGGGATAATCTAATTTGCATCCCTACCAGACAGCAATGATTTTTTAGCACAAACATATATAGTACTACAGGATGCTTAGGAGTAGCATTTTCAAATTAAATAGAAGCAATTCTGGTCATGTGTAATAGGGGTCTTCTGGTGTTTTTCACAGGATTTTGTGAGGTGGCACTAGTGTGCTGGTGAAATTTGTGGGGCTGGGGGGGTGACTGCCTTCTGACTCCACAGTTTCCTGCTGCTATTTCAGCTGACAGTAATGCTCTTTACTTCCTGCGCTTGCCAGTTTTGTAGGTGTAGAGAGCAGTTTTACAATCAGTCTCAACCAGCTGAGACAGTGATACTACCAAAGGAGACAATCTGTCATGTCCTCTCCCAGCTGTTTGCTCCCACCCTTTGTCTGGGAGTGGTGCAGGTACTTGTGTGACCATAGAGCAAGTTGGATCAGGTCTCTGGTCCTCCTGAAAACAAACTCTTGTCAGGTTGAGTTTCCAGCTAGAATGAGAAGCTGCATGACCTTGGGGGAGGAGGGAGATCTGGTTTACTCCCTTCAGTGGCAGCATGGTCTCTAAGTCAGCTCAAGGCAACAGTGAAAGCCCATCTTTGGGATGCAGTGCTAAATAGCTGCCACTGTCTCTGGTAGAGGCAGTTGAATTCCCTGGTATGTGAAGTTAGCTCTGCCTTGCCTGCAGTTTGCAATAGGCCTGCAGGTAAAAGGCACAAGAAAAATAAAAATGATTGGCTGAATGGATGGAAATGAAATGACATGTGGTGATGGGAGCTTCTCACTGAGCTTTTGCATCAAGAGCAAGTCTTTCACATGAACAGCTTAGGAGAGGCAACAAGTCATTAGGAAAGCAGTATATTATCAGGCCACGGATGGTCCCTCCAACCACCCCTCCAGAATGAGAGAGCTTGAAATCTTGGCTTTCTCATTAGCATCAAGCTCTGCTCTGGAAGCTATGCTCTGAGTCTCTGTCTGTGCTTAGGTGCAAAGCTCAGAGGGAGGTTGCTGCTAAAGGGGTTTTCTGAATGATTGTTCCCAGAACTCACTGCAGCCCATTGCTATCCCACTGGGATCCTGAAGGCTGAGGTAGGTTGTGCCTTCCAGCTCACTGCTCTCAACCCCTTTCCACTACCATCAAAGGAGTCATGACCCACCCCACTGGAGCACAAGACCCATTTGGGTCAAAGAAGAGCAGAAGCAGCAGGTCCTTGCCTGTTGATCATGGCAGCCATTGGAGACATACATTGCCATCTCAGTAGGCACAACTAGTTTCATGTAGAGGAAGGAGATGGAGGCATCAATTTTCCCTTTGCAAGTATCAGCGGGATGCTTTGCTGGGTGTGGGGAGAGTGATATCATTAAGACACATCTTCTGCTGATGTTCCAACATGAAATGAGAGTGTGCTGGGAGTCAAGGGCATTGCCTGTCTTCAGGGAAGAGTAATTTAAACACTTTTAAGACTCGCCTCCATGGAATATGAAATAGGCTCTCAAAGCACTTAAGGAGGCAAGCACGTTTTTAATTTTCTCTGTAATAGAGACAGGCAGGATGTTTCAAATGATGATAAAAGTGTGAGAGGTATGAAGACAGACAGAAGTAGATGATAAAAATGAAGGAACAAGAAAGAGAGAGGAACAGAGCCTGTGTAACAGCTGACAGCAATCAAAGTTTGCAAAGTTTTGCCAAGAAACGGATTCCAGAAATACGAATGCAGCGGCAGGACTTTTTTTTAAGCTGGAACTAAGCATGCTTTGTGTTTTGCTATATAGCCCATGTGAGGCTGGTTGTTTCAACGTAAAACACTCTGAGACACCAACATATGATTCTGGGAATCTGCAGACACCTGAAGGGAACACCCCATGTATTTAAGATGAAGGCCGGTGCGTAGCTGCCATATGTGTCATCCCACATTTCAGCCTCTCATTCTGACAAACCTTCCCTCTCCTTGTCACTTCTTTTTCAGATGCAAGTGCCTGTGACAAGTGCCCTGAGGATTACTGGTCCAATGAGAACCACACATCCTGCATCCCCAAGCAGATAGAGTTTCTGTCCTGGACCGAGCCCTTTGGGATTGCTCTGACTCTCTTTGCTGTGCTGGGAATTTTCCTGACTTCTTTTGTCCTGGGAGTCTTCACCAAATTTCGTAACACACCCATCGTCAAGGCCACAAACCGGGAGCTGTCCTACCTCCTCCTCTTCTCCTTGCTCTGCTGCTTCTCCAGCTCGTTGTTCTTCATTGGCGAGCCCCAGAACTGGACTTGCCGTCTGCGGCAGCCAGCTTTCGGCATCAGCTTTGTCCTCTGCATCTCCTGCATCCTGGTGAAAACCAACCGTGTCCTGCTTGTCTTTGAGGCAAAGATCCCCACGAGCCTCCACCGAAAGTGGTGGGGCCTCAACCTCCAGTTCCTCCTGGTCTTCTTGTGCACGTTTGTGCAGATTGTCATCTGTGTGATTTGGCTCTACACAGCCCCGCCATCCAGTTACCGAAACCATGAACTGGAGGATGAGATTATCTTCATCACCTGCCATGAAGGCTCCCTGATGGCCCTTGGCTTCCTCATTGGCTACACCTGCCTCCTGGCAGCCATCTGCTTCTTCTTTGCCTTCAAGTCTCGAAAGCTGCCTGAGAATTTTAACGAGGCCAAGTTCATCACCTTCAGCATGCTGATATTCTTCATCGTGTGGATCTCCTTCATCCCTGCTTACGCCAGCACATACGGCAAGTTCGTCTCTGCCGTGGAGGTGATTGCAATACTGGCTGCCAGCTTTGGGCTCCTGGCCTGCATCTTCTTCAACAAAGTCTACATCATCCTCTTCAAGCCCTCCCGCAACACCATCGAGGAAGTGCGCTGCAGCACAGCCGCCCACGCTTTCAAGGTGGCCGCCAGGGCCACGCTGAGACGGAGCAATGTGTCACGCAAGCGCTCCAACAGCCTGGGGGGCTCCACCGGCTCCACCCCTTCCTCCTCCATCAGCAGCAAGAGCAACCACGAGGACCCTTTTCCTCTACCAGCCTCCGCTGAGCGGCAGCGCCAGCAGCAGCGTGGGTGCAAGCAAAAAGTCAGCTTCGGGAGCGGCACGGTCACCCTGTCGCTGAGCTTCGAGGAACCGCAGAAGAACGCCATGGCCAACAGGAACGCCAAGCGCAGGAACTCCCTGGAGGCCCAGAACAGTGACGACAGCCTGATGCGGCACCGGGCCCTGCTTCCCCTGCAGAACAGCGAACCCCTCAGTGCTGAGCCTGGCTTCCAGGCAGCTTCCAGCCCGGAGACCAGCTCGCAGGAGTCGGTGGTGGGAAACACCAAAGAAGAGGTACCAAGCCCTGAGGCAGAGCCTTCCCTGCCATCAGCTAACTCCCGAAATTTTATAGGGGCTGGAGGTGGCTCTGTCACAGAGAACACGGTACATTCCTAACGAAAGAAGATCGTGAAGACCACACCAGCCCCCAAGAGGAACTTGCTCACCTCTTGCTTCTGAACGGGAAAGACAACAAAGACACACTCCTGTGACACAGCCCCACCACCCCTTACTGTTAGTGCCTGCAGGGTAACACTTGTGCCTCCAGAGGAAGGACTATGTCTGGGGAGCCTTGGACTGAATTTGCATTCGCTTTATCAAAACCAGGACACCTAAGAAGGACAAGTGAAGATCGCCTCTGGTGGGGCTTTGGCAGAAGTCTGCATGCTGCCTTGCCTCCGTAAGCTTTTCCTGCCAGACTGCAACTCAGCTGACTATGGGAGGCACTAGGCAATTCCACTATACTCTGCTTTTACATTTATGTATAATATTCCTCTTTCCCACTATGTATAATATTCCCTCTTTATCCAGTATATGTGATCTGTAACCATGTGCATCAGGACTCTCAGCTCTACAAAAGCAAGGTACACGGTTTCACTTGGGGAAGGCATGGTCATGGGGAAAATAAAAAAGCCCCCAACATCCTGCATGCTGTGTACAGCCAAGGGTGTGAACATGTAAAGTATTTAATGTGACAGAGCGCCCTGCTATTTATATTTAGTAATGTCCCAATCTCTCCTTTCTGCCCAGCAGGAAATACTGGACAATACTCTTCATAGACTCCATTGCACTAGACCAAGCTACTAGGTTCCTACTGGTTTCCTCCAGCTGAGGTACCTTTGCCTCCAGCCTACCCGCTTTGGTGGAGGGGGAGAACAGCTTGTAAATGCCCCCCAGAGAACGTTGCGAGAGCACAATGAGATGTATCCATGATTGATTATGTCGCTAGTAGTTGTATGCTTAACGAAGTGTTGCTGCTGTAATATTCCACATGGCATACATGGCTAACCCTTTCACACCATAGTCAGTGTTGTGCTTTGCCATATTAATCTGCCTTACACCTACACAGAGCATCGCGCTAGTCGTGACGATACTGGTGGGCCTGATACAAAGCAAATGAAACAAGGTGAAATGGAGGAGTTAGGGATGGAGAAACAGCCCCCAGATGTGGTAATACAATTGCAGGAGTGGGTGACTATCTGAAGTGTGTGTGCTGGTAGATGACTGGACAAGGAAGACGTACAGGCCTAGCCTCTGACACGCACAAAGACAAATGGATAAATTGGATATGTTTTGCCTCCTCTAGGCCACCTACTAGGTTATTTCCCTCCTGACCCATCTTGAAGAGAGGGCACCTAGCACAAGAAGGGTGAACTGTATCTAAAGAAAAACAGTAAGGACTTCAGCAGAGAGCATAGCAGAACTTCATGACTCTTGACACTTGTCCCACTCCCCGAAAAGCAGACGTAAGTGCTCCTGGTTTTGCAAGGCATGCCTGGTTCTCCATCCATGCTGGAAAGGTTGAAGTAAGAGAGTCATTAGAAGGGATATTTGTTGCAGCCTGATGAGAGAAAAAGCACTCCTCAACAGCCTGGCAGGAGAGGGCAGGGTTATGTTGCAGAATTTATTTCCCTCTTCCCAGATCCCGTGTGCAAGAACAAGCATCCAACATGAAGATGTCAGTACCCTCTCTCATCAAACAGGAAGGTAGTCTAGACCACTGTGGAAAGGCAGACGGGCCTGCAGCTTAGTGTGAGCTGAGACGAAAGGACTGTGTGAGTGCGTTGGGGAAAATATCACAGTTCTCTTGTTACTGTTTTCTCTTGGTTGTTCTTTTGCCAGGGCAGGCAAATAAAACTTACAGGTGACATTACTGCATAAAAACTTTGTTTTGCCACCTCCACTTGTTGCTGACAAGGAAGCGGAGTTTGGGCTCAGGAGAGCAAAGTGGAAGACCAGAACGCCAAGGAGCACACTATTCAGACAAGTTATTTTAAGCCTTTTGTTGATCTGTTACATTCCCCTAGGAGTGGGCTCACATTTTAATCACACCATGTAAGAACCAATCCAACTTTAACTGTAAGGCCTGCCAATTACAGTTAAATTACACAATTACACAAATCCTTGTGGCCACAATTTTGGAAACCACATTCTACCCCTGGACACAGCGACAGTTGCTCACTGTTTCTGAAAAACCAGGTCCCTTCCCCAGGCTGCTGACTGCGGCCTCTAGGCTTAGTTGAGGGTATGGAATTGAGACCGGTGGTCTCCCGAGTCTAAATGCACGAACGGAGATGGGCACTAGATGGCAGAAAGGGCCAAAAAAAGTACTTCGGTTATGGTCCACACCCAAAAATTTCAGTAGCCAAATAGTTTTAGTGCTAGTGAATCATTCCTACGGGCCAAACCCAGTACAGTAGCCCCTGAAGCGAAGCTGACAGCACCGAAAGCAGAGAAGAGCTTAATGCATGAAATGAAAACAACACAAGGTACAAACTGAAGACTCTGCACGAACACACCCAACGTGAGAAACAGGACGTCACCGTCGGCTGACTTGTTTGGCGAACAACACTCACTGGCTATGCACACTGTAGATAATATTGACATTTGGGTGTTTTTCATTCTTTGGGCAGTTTTCATTCTTTAGGTGTTTTCCGTTCTTTACATCTACTTCAGAGGAATTTGTACCCTGGCACGCACTGACGCTCCAACAGCTGCCATAATTTTATACTAACAGACCAACCGTGCTCAGTTTGCTGGGGAACCCCCATCCACCCTCACCGCACATGTACGTGGAGCTCCAAGCCTCGAGCTCCACACGCTGCGTGAGAACTGCCGCTGCAGCCTCTTGTAGTGACACACGCTAGATGCAAGGGAAGTTCAGTTAAAAAAGGATCCCCTTCGTAAAGGTGAGTTGCAACCAAACCCTTTTTCCCATGCACAGGGGAGGGTCTATGTTCTCATCCTGCCAAGTCCAGGAGAAGAGGAAGTTTGCTCAGACGCCTGTCTGAAAGCCCGTCTGTGTGTCACACAATACTGATGAAGACAAGCTGAAAAACGTCATTCTGTTGAAAGCTCGAGCCTGCGAACCTCCACTGGCATGTCCCACCAGAAGTTGCCCACGTGAATGGCTGCCCCATCCCACCCCCATGGCTCAAAAACCTACTGGAAATCATGTGCCAACACTGGTGTTTCCTGAGCCATTAGGTAGAGAAGCAGCAGCAGTGGGGACAAAAGCAAAGAGCTTTAACTCTGTGGTGGGATTTCCACTGGCAAACTCGGCTGATGGGCAGGGAACCGTCACGGTGAAGAGCCCAATGCTTCACCCTCTCTCTGCTCACAAACCTGGCAGAGCTCTGCTTGCCCAAACCCCCAGCAGAGCATTTATTTGCTCTCCACAAGAGGAGAGAGGTGATACCGGGGTAAAGAAATCCTTCTTCCCCATTCTTTTTCATGCCATGTCCTCCCTACCAGTGCAGGAGGCCCGTTCAGCATGCGATACTGGCTGCTGCTAAATTCAGGGTTATATTTGCCAAATGTACCGAGGGATGCTAGGAAGCGGGGGGAGGAAGGTAGGTTGTTGTTGTTGTTGTTGTTTTCCCAAGGAATCTGGAGGTTTAGATTGGGGGGAAATTCAGCTAAAGACCTGAACATTCAGACTGAAGTCTCAGCAGGGGGTTTCTCAAAGGCTGGATAATTCCCCCCAGCCTTCGGTTTGCCGGCTGAGGGACAGCAAGACCAGCCTGGGCGAGGGGACGACGGACCCGGGAATCCCGCAGAGGGAAACCCTCCACGCTGCTCAGGCGAACATGTCGCTGGAAGTCGTGACACCCTGGAAAAGCAAAAAGCTGCCGCTCAGGACGGCGGGACGGTCGCAGAGCCCTCACCCACCCAGGACAGGCCGCAGACCTCCTGCGGATGGTTTATTTTTATTTTCTTCCTTTTCAATCAGGCTAGCAGACAGACCTGCTCCCACCGTACCCTACTAAAAATCCTCCCCCCCCGGCCCTGCCGCCTCCCCCGGTGCAGGCGGTGCCGGGAGCCGGGGCCGGGGCTTCCCACTCTCCCCCTCACACCTCAGGAGACCCCAAAATCAGATTTAAGCCCCCCCCTCCTTAGGCCCGGTGCTGGTCCCGCCCCGCCGGGCCCCGCCTTGAGGTGGTGATGGTGGAGGGGGGGAGGAAGGACGGGAGCAGCCGCCACCATGTTGTGCGGGGGGACCTCGGCGGCCCGGCCCGCCACAAACGAGACGCAGCAGATGGCGGATGAGGTGAGGGGACCGCGCCGCCTCGGCGGGGGAGTCCCCGGGGGCTCGGGAAGGAGCGTCCCGGGGAGGGGGGGGGGTTTCTGGCGGGGCTGCCTTCTCCCGCCGGGCCTTCTCCCGGGAGCCGCCGGCTCTCCGTGGGGGCCTGCCCGCCGGGGTGGGGGGGTGCCCGGCGGCGGTAGGTTTGAGCCCGGCGCTGCGTCCCCGTCCCGGTGCAGGAGATGGCGGAGGGCCCAGGCGTGCTGCGCCATTGCCCGACGCAGCTGGAGGCGGAGAGGCCTTCCCTCCCCTCCTCAGTTCAAAGGCGGTAAAACCGGTACACCGCGGAAACATGCCGGCCCTGCGGAGCCCTCCCTGTGCCTGCCCGGCCTTGCGGAGGTTTATCGACACCGGGCAGAGCCGGTTCGGCATCTTAGGGGGGCGGTTTTGAGGGGTTTAGAGAGGAACCGTCGGCAGCCGTGAGTGCTCGGGGGGAGCTGGGCTGCTGCCCGCTCGGTCCCTGGCTCCGCAGGGGAGGTGCGACCCACCAGCGTCGGGGCAGGGACACCAAAAGGTCCGTTTTCTTGATTTTCTTGCGCTCAGGTGGTTCTTACCAAGTCTAAACCTTGTAGCCACCGGTTTGGGGGTGGGTGGTTTTTTGTTGGCGGGGGGGGGGTAAGCAAGAAAACTTGTCTGCTGCTTCTGCTGTTCCCCCACGCAGAATTCAGCTCTAACCACTGCCAGCTCCAAATCGTGATACAGTAACTTAAACTGCCACCCGTGTTAGTGGAGCACATGATTTTGCTCTAAAAATGCTGGTGTACGACTAAGTTCTTTAAAAGCACACGGCGTTGTTTCAGTCGTAGGAACTCAAGTTACTTCTGCTTTTTGGTTTTATCAGCTAGGGTGTGTCAAGCCAGTGGAGAAGGATGAAAGACGATCTCCAGCTTCTTACGCTCTTTGTCATCGTCTGGGTTTGCTCCCCTGGCTGCAGCAGTTTCTAAATACGTACAGAGCACCCAAAGGCACAGCAGTCATTGAAATTAATGTTTAGCTTGTAGAATCTGATGATTCTGCGTTTAAAAAAAGAGGGATGTGCGTCTCCTAAGCGCCAACCTGAGTTTGCAGTAATGAGTACATTATCAAGAATTGCTGAGAGAGTCCCAGATACTGTTTTGACCTGAAAGGGCCTACGTGTCATGTTAAAGATAATGCAGGTATGCAATTAACATTGCACATGGACTGAAAACTAGGTTTGAAATCCTGACTTTCTGTTCTGTGGCAGACTGCAGTGGTTTGGTAATCCAAAACTAAGATGAAGAGTATAAAAATGAAATCCAGTTGGATTCAGAAGTGAACAGAATTAACCAAAAATCTAGCATTTTCATTTAAATCACATAAATATTTCAAAGTTTGTCCAGCTGGTTTTGACTGCCAGTTTAAGTTACTTTATTTAATGAAATACAAATGGGAAAACCCCAAACTGAAAACTTGCCCCTGCAGTCATATCCACATCTGGATACAGACTGTGAAGGAAACACTAGTTTCGTTAAATCTAGGTAGACTTCTCCAATTGTTTTGTTCGCTTAAAATCACATCTTTGTGGAGATTTGTTAGAGCCTGCCAGTTCCCCTGCCATAAATACACTTCCTGTTCCTGCTTTTCCAGTCCTTGCCTCCATTGTGTTGTTTCGTAAGAATTGTGGTGATGGCCAAACATTGTTCAGATTCATGGTCCTGGCAAGTACTGCTGCTCGCCCAGAGCAGGTACAGTGTGAGAGACAGAGCAGGACAGCTTCCTTCCAACGGTGTCTGGCTTAGGAGTTCCCATAGGAACTGCCTCTCCATGGCAAGGATTTCCACCCAGGCCTGTTCTGCCTTTGGCTTCTTACTGGCAGCTGTGGCAGAGGTTAGCCGGGGTGATTTTGAACCACCTGCTTTTTAGTAACTGCTCTGGGATTAAGCAACAGGCCACGCAGAACAGCAGAGAGCCTTCAGGACATGATAATTTTCAGCCCTGTGATTGAATCACAGTTTGGGTGAGAAGGGACTGCACCTCCTGCCTGAGCACAGGGTCAGCAGCCCCAGGTTGCTCGGGGCTTTGTCCAGTCAGGTTTTGAAAACCTCTGAGGATGGGAACTGCACAGTTTCTCTGGGCAGCCTGCTGTACTGCAGCAGTGTTCTCAGGGGAAAAGTTTTTCCTTATATCCAGCCTGAACCTCCAGTTTCAATTTATGACCATTGTGTCTCATTCTTCTGCCATCACCCCTCAGTAAAGAGCCTGACTCCTTGTAGGTACTGGAAAGCTTTCCTCAAATCCTTCTCTTCTCCAGGCTGAGCAAGCTCATTTTCTTCTCACAGCACGAATGCTCCAGCCATCTGACCTCATGGTGGCTCTCCGCTGAGCTTGCTACAGGTTATTGACATCTTTCTTGTATCGGGGGCCCAAAACTGGACGTAGTATTCCAAATGTTCTCTAACAAGTGCCAGGTAAAGGGCAGTAATCGCTTGCCTCTCTCTGTTCTGGCTAGGCTCCTCCTGATCCAGCCCGGTATGCTCTTACCTTTGTTACCACCAGGGCACAGTGCTGGCTCACATTTAGTGCCCTATCCACCAGGACCCCCAGATCTAGGCTGAGATCATCCATCAGCTAGCAGGGTGGGCTGATTCCAGGTCTTTCTGAGAGTATTTCTGTCTGGGCTCTCCCTCCCCGTACTGAATTGGGATGCCTGTTTGTCACATGCTGTGGTGAGTCATTGCCACGATAACACCCTGACAAGCTTGCAGCTGCATGCAACTCTGAGCTGTCCGCAGTCATGGAGCCCAGTGTTCAGCTTCCTGGTGGAAATACAAAATGTGCTGAGGCAGGGCAATTTTGAGACCTAAGAAACCACCATTGCACAGTGCCTAGGATTGCTAAGGGAGCATGGGACAGGATAGGGTCAGTGGGATACTTATGTCCGCCCTCTTCCCTGCTGCTTAAAATTTGTTACAGTAGCTCCAGTGATGGAACCGAAACCACTTGCTCCATCTCCTGACTCAGGAGAAGGGGAGGATGGAGGTCTGAATCACTGCGCTTTCTGGGGCTGTGCCCTTCCTTGCATCTTAGAATGCAAAGTGGTTGGGTGTGCTTTGATTTCCGTATGGCAGAAAAGCATACGTACAAAAGCATCCAAACATCGTTATCTTACTTTTGATGTATTGTTCACAGCCTGGAAGAAGTGTAGAGGTATGACGTCTGAGAGAAGATGTACAGTATGATCAGAGCCCCCAGGGACAGGATAGTCACTGATGAGCCATCTTGCAAAGGCACCAGAGTTTGGTCCTGCGCCTTCTCAGTGCTAGAGAGGTGGCAGAACGTAACCAGTTGCAGGAATTGTTTCTGTTCCTACTTCACTTAGAGCACCCAAGCAGTGGCAAACTGGAACTTGTTTTCCCCCAAGGAAGCAGGTGGGATTCAGGCAGGAGAGCAAATGTATTTATTCCCTTTGAGTTTAGGAAGAAGGGGAAATACACCATATAGCTGGAAAAAGAGTATGTACTCACTGCTGGTACTGTTGCACTGGGAATGGAAGGAGGGCTACATAATGATGCAGTGCAGGAGGTAAGGCCTGGGTAGAACTGTGCTTGCAGCAAGGACTCCAAGACTAATGCATCTTGTCCCTGTAAACAAAGCTTGAAATCTGCTTTCCTGACCAAGAACTTTACCGTGTAGCTGTGATGTTCTAGAGAGCCAAGTGTGGGAGAGAAAGCTGCAATGCAGGAGTTTCATGCCTGCCTCTGAGGTATTGGACAAGTTATTTTGACTTCTTGAGCACTGGTTTTACACTCTGGAAACTGGGATGATAACTCAGAAGCCTTTATGGTTCAGTTATTTTTTGGAAAATATTTGCAGTTTGAAAACATTACAGATTTCAGCAGACACGCTGGAAGAACTGTCAAATAAGTGTTATAAAACCTTAGGCTTGGGTAGTTCGCTTTCAAAGCTTGATTTTTGGATGTCTGTTCTGTGATGCTGGGTCTGTAATAACTTGTTTTGAATTTGAAAAGGGAGCTAATGCTGAAGACGGCCCTTTTTCTTGTTGTAAGAATGATGTATATTAAAAACTTCTCTCTAAAAAGACCTATAGTCTTGTGCAGGTAGATACTGAACCACTTTATATTTGTTGTTAGATATACAGGACAGAAAGGGAAGCTGAGACATCAATAGAGGAGACAATTTGTCACAATAAATCTTTTAGCATACCCACACAATTCTCTTGTTGGAGGCTCCACAGTTGGTGTCAGTCTGTGGTGACTTAATCACACCGCTGTCTTGGCTTTGCTGCCTGTCTAGATTTCTGATCCTGCTTTATTCATTTTAATTCATTTTAATCTTTTAATAACTTGGAAAAGCAGGAACACTCTGGGAATTCAGAAGCAGTGACCTGGAGGGTACTGAGGCACACTGATAGTGTGGGCCTTAAGTCCTAAATACTTGAATCTTGCATCAGTCTTAAATAACCTATTGTTTCCTTAAGGTGAAACCTCAGCTAGAAGAAAAAGAAGGGAAAAAGTTTGATGTCTTCACTGCAGTGGAGTTTAAAACTCAGGTGGTTGCTGGAACAAACTACTTCATCAAGGTAGAGGACACTAGGCAATGGGAATTTTTTTTAAATGTATAATATTTGGAATGGTGGGGTGTTTTTTTTTCTTTACTTACCTACAGAGAGATGCTCATGATTTGGCCTTAATAAGAAAAAAATCTGTACATTAAAAAAAAAAAAATACTAACACCCCCCCCCCCCCGTCTCCCACCCTGTCTCCCTGTCTGTATTAAATGGAGATGAGAGTACTTACCTGTTTTCATAATGATTTTTACTTTTCAGTTATTTTCTGAAACTTGGTTTTGGGGGATAGTTACACATCTGTGATGTTGAGCACTAACATTGCATTAAGTGAAGTCCAGATGTGTAAAGATACAGTGAAGTATCAAATCTGCTTTGATTCTGCCTGTAGTGATGCCGCACACAAACAAGCAACTGTAATCAAAGCATTGAAGTGCTTGTTGTGCCAGATAAGATTAGAGCATTTTGCATGTATTTAATATATTAATCACTTCTATGCAACTCCGATTCCCTACCTGTATATTCCCTGTCTCGGGCACAGGGAGGACTAACAAGCATAGAAGGAGTAGGTGGTATTTCCACAAAGTCCTAACTCCCAGTCTGGCTTAAAACAAGACCGCACCTTCTGAGGTGATGGTTTTTCTTACCACCTCTCTGCTTTTCCATCCTCAAAACACACCAGTCTACACCATCCCTGCTGCTGGAGGCTGTGGTTACTCCGTGGAACTCACTGGTTTTCATGCTTTGCAGGTCCATGTTGGCAATGATGAGTTCATGCACCTGCGGGTGTTCAGAAGCCTTCCTCACGAGAATAAGCCGCTGAGTCTCCACAGTTACCAAAGCAGCAAGACCAAGCATGATGAACTGGCTTTTTTCTAGCAAGTTTATCTTGTGTGTTTTCCTAATGGTTTCTTATGTGCATTTTCTATAGGCTGCAAAATGTTGATTCCTGCGCCAATGAAGGAGAAAGGAAAGTGTCTTGTTTTATACTTAACGCTGGAAAAAATCATTTTCTCTTATGCCATTCCCTTCCTGTGCAAAATCTAAATTTTTGAGTCGCACAGCTCTCTTTTCACCTATACTAATGCAAACCCAAGTAGCTGCACTGACTTCAGTGCAACTTAACCGGAATATTGTGACTGAGTCCTGTTAGTGGACTTCCTTGGGCTGGAAATTGAAAGGGGAGTGATACTCATGTATTTGCAGCAAGGAACAAGAGAAAAACCAGAATCTTTTCTGTGCTGTTTTGCAATTGTGAATATATCTGTAGATGTAAATTGTACTCTGTATTTTATTGGCAAAGACCTGAAGAGAGACTTGAGCTGAAGCAATTTTGAAAGCAAGGGGATGGGGAGGATTATAGTCCTTTGAAACAAACATTGCCTTGGTAATCATGTTTATCCTCTTGCAGCAGTAGGGTGTAATGTCCAGTAGAGGGTGTATGAGTTTAAAAAAAAAAAAGAAAACAACTTGATTATTTTCTCAGTCCTAAGGAAGAAGTCTGGGAAAGGAATTTAAGCTGGACAAGCGTTTCTGCATTAATAATAATAAATATTTCTCTTTAATTGAGATGGCATATTTGACTGGTGTTTCACTGGTCTCTTTACTGGTTATTGGTTATTATCTTCCTCAGAGATTTTTTTCCATGACTGTTTTTCATATTCCAGATAACCTTAATGTTTATTCTATGTTTTAATTAGAAATACTTTCTTTTAATCTGGTGAGAGACATGAAAGCTAACAAGAAAGGCTTCTGAAGATGTATCAGCAGCAAAAGGAACACTAAGGAAAACGTGGGCTGTCTGTGCTCAGCGGAGCAGGGGACCTGCTGGCAGAGGACACAGAAAAGGCTGAGGCACTCAATGCTGCCTTTGTCTCAGCCTTTGCTGGTAGGACTCGCCTTTGGGAATTTGAGGTCCCTAAGGCGACTGGGAAAGACTGGAGAAAGGAAGACTTCACTCAGCAGAGCTGGATCAGGCTAGGGGAACACTTAACCTGGACTTGGACAATGCCATGGGAGTTGAGGGGCTGCACCCATGGATGCTTCGGGAACTGGCCAATGTCACTGCAAGGCCGCACTCAATACCCTTTGAAAGGTGACGGGCTTCGGAGGAGGTTCCCGAGGACTGGAAGAGGGAAAATGTCACTCCTATGTTCAGGAAGGGCAAGGAGGAGCATCTGGAGCACTACAGGCTCATCAGCCTCACCTCAGTCCCTGGAAAGGAAAGGTGATGGGGTAAATAATCCTGGAAGCCATTTCCAAGCACATGAAGGACAAGAAGGTGATTGGAAGTTGTCAGCATGGATTTGCACAGGGGAAGTCATGCTTAACCAACCCGATAGCCTGCTATAATGAGGTAAATGTCTTGGCAGAGGAGAGAAGCTGGATGTTACTTACCTTGAGTTTAGTAAGGGTTTTGATACTGTCTGTCTTCCATAACATCCTCATAGACAAAGTGATTAGTATGTGCTAGATAAGCGGACTGCAAACCAGCTGAGCTGCTGTGCTCTAAAAGTTCAGCAGCCCATAGTCTGGTTAGAGGTCAGTCCCTAGGGGCGTACCCTTGGGGTCAATATTGGGACCAATACTCTTAACGTCTCCATTAATGACCTGGATGATGGGACCAAGCGCACCCACAGCAGGTTTGCAGATGACACGAAACGGAGAGGAGTGGCTGACGGACCGGGTGGCTGTGCTGCTGCTTGGAGGGATGGCAGCAGGCTGGAGATGTGAGCAGACGGGCATCTTGACTGTCAGCGAAGGGAGATGCACAGTCCTGCACTGGAGAAGGAATAACAGGTACAGGCTCTGCAGAAAAGGGCTTGGGGGTTGTCCTGTTGGGCACCTTGTGGCAAAGGTGGCCACTGGTAGCTGTGGGCTGCATTAGGAAGAGCAGTGCCAGTAGATGGAGAGGCCAGTCTCCCCACCACTGCCCCGCATTCAGCACTGGTGAGACCACCTTGGGAGTGCTGTCCCCTGTTCTGCGCTCCCCAGTACAAGGCAGACAGGGATGTACCAGTTTAAGGACAGCAAAGGGCCACCAAGACAATTAAGAGATTGGCACATCTGACTTAAAAGGAGAGGCGGAGAAAGCTGGGCTTGTTCAGCCATGGCAGACAAGGTGAAGGGGGAGGCAGCAGAGCCAGGCTCTTCTCAGTAGCACTCAGTGAAATGAAGAGGCAAGAGCCAATAGCCACAAACTGAAATACATAAATTCCATGTAAATATAGGAAAAAATGTAGGGAAAAAAACCCTAACCTTTTTTTTTTCCTCTTTAATAATCACAGGGGTGGTCAAACAGGGGCCCACATTGTCCAGAGAGGTTGTGGAGGCTCCATTGATGGGAGAGAGCACCAAAATTCTGACTGCACATGGTCTTAGCCTTTGAACTGAGGGGAGACAGCCCACTTCTAGATGACACTGCTGCATGTCCTTGGCCAGAGACTGAAGAAATGACAAGCAGCTTTGAGAGGAGAGGGCATGGTGAGCTTGCATGCATGTTACTGGGCTTTTTTTGTTGGAGGTGTGCTCTGTGTGTGTAACCAGCATTGCTTAGGAGCATGTTCTGTCTCGTCATTATTAGGGGGAGTTTACGTGCTTTTGCTCATATCAGTGCCTGAAAAATCCTCACACTCCCCCTCCAATATGAAATAAAGGGAGGGAGTAAGTCTGGCTTATTATGGCACTTCTTGTTTTGCTAAAATAAAGTGGGTTTTGAGACACAGGGTCTTTTTTGGTGCTGGTAACTCCCACCCTGAAGTGTTTTCACAGTTCAAAAAGCTGAGCATTACCTCCAAATGCTACTCTGTGGGATGTTAGTGGTAATAATGCAAGACTTGCTGCATCTTAAAAGATTTGTAACATTAGACTGCAGGATTGAGCTCTTGTGGAAACTATATTAATTAGATGTGCAAGGGAAGGACTACTCCCAGGAGGCCACAGGCTGTCTTTATGCTTGGAGGAATTAAAGCATCTGATCTAGGATACTGGCATGCAGAGAAATGGGCAGGTGTCACATTTTTTCTAGGCATGATATGCCTGTGAGTGTTACATACCTATCCTTCACTACAGCACCAAAACATGAATACAAGCAAGGTATGGCCTGAGACCCATTTAATCATTTAAAGTCTTATGCCTGAGCCCAGGCTCCCTGGCAGGTAATACAAAGGCCCCTACCTGAGCAGGTGCTAACAGGAAAGTCTTTTTGTTGTGGATTGGGCTTGCCTTCTACCTTTGTCACCTCAGAGCTCAGCTGAAGGCTGCTCTCTTTGCAGGTGGTTGGTGCTACAAATGAACAAAAAGGAATGAGCTCCATAGATCTCCAGTAAAGCACACTCACTAAGTGAGGATGGTCACTCCCTGCTCCAGGGGCTGAATGCTGGGATTCAGCTGTCTCAGGGGCCTATCCTCCCAATCCTTCAAGGAGCTCATTCCTGCCCCCTACCCTGCTCCCACACAGTGAAGGTGCACTTAGAGGGGGACACAGTTTGGCTTCTCACTTCCCCCATGCCAGAAATTATCTATGGATCTATCTATCTATCTCACACACTTTCTGAGGAGTGTCCAATAGGTCGTATTTAATGCACTTAAAAAGCAAAACCAAGCAGCCAATGCTGAAGTACTTAGCCTGTTTGCCTGAAGTATACTCAGGAGGCCCAGGTTTTGTCTTCAGAGGATGCCTGAGTGTTTTGGAAAGAGGAGCTGACATAGGTGTGCTCTGTCTTACAGCTATAGTACCTCAGGTAGCAGAAACAGCCTTGAATAGTATTTCAGAGCCTACTCAAGCTTCAGCCAGGCAGCAGAGCTAGATGTGACATGCAGCAGATGAACAAATAGCTTTCAAAACTTATTTTATTTTCATGCATTTACTAAAACAGGCAGAATCCACATGCAGCTTGCAGAAGTGAGGCACCATTCCTCCTCATCTCTCAGAAGTAGGTCAGAGGATCATCTCTGGTTTTGCCAGTCTGAAAACTGACAAGGCTGGGACCTTGGTTCTCATGAGGAAGGCTCACAAACACCCTTAAGTGGACATAGTCATCATTGCAAACTTGGACCTAGAAACCAAAACAGCAGGAAAGTGAAATGTTAGGTATATCTCCATTTTTACTTCAACAGCTCTTAACCCAAGTCTGGATAGTAACTGGTGGGAGAAACTGTCTACACCTGTAGGAAACTAATAAAAACCTTCAGACTCATGTGAATGGAAAATGAAGAGGACTGCTTGGGTGTGGAAGGACCAGAAGGCACAAGAGGAGAAAGGTTTCGATGGTGGTGTATTTCGGACATCAAGATCCCGGCACATCAGCTCACAGCTTCTTGGGACACTCAGGGTAGGAGACAAGAGACACTGAGAAAAATCTTAATGACTCAGGGGTGGGGCAAGATGCAGAGACAGTGTCAGCTCCTATAAGGTACAGAAAGGTCTATCCAAAACCAGCACACAGTCCTAAGAAGCAATAACAACCTGAAAGCCAGGAACCCTTGTCTGCAGAATTACTGCAAACACATCAGCGCCTGAACAGACAACTTGACACACACCTTGATGCTTGTGGGAGTGAGTGTGAGTGCCTGAAATAATTTTTAAATAAACTCACCTTCCCCACCAGAAAATCCTCACATAACGACCTGCTACGAAGTTGTGCATAATTTCACACACATACAGAGCCAAGCGCAACAGGTGCTAAACTCTCACTGTGTGAGGTATATAGTATTAACAGAAAGTTTACTGCCTTAGGCTCTAAGAGGTTTTTATATGCTTTCTAGTGGCTGCAACGTGGCACTGTTTGTTTCGGTCTGGATTACATCTCAGCTGTAAATCTGTTGGTAAAATACTAGTGATGTGGAAAATTCAGAAGTATAAATTAATCTTGTGACAGAATTTCTTCCAGGTAACGCTAAAATGAGTAACTGTTTCCTGTCACTTGCAAGATTGGGAAAGAAGAGACAAATCATCCATTTTTCAGTGTTATAAATGGATTTCTTCCAAGTTCAGTAACATGTCAATCATCATTTCTGAGTAGTTTGGTCATGAGGTTTAGCATGGACAGCAGACAAGGATTTTACATGGGCTAGGTCAGCAATAAGATGGTACTAAGGGAAGAAATGCAACTAGGAATGACTTCTGGCTTTACTGCAGCCTTCTTGTAAATTGTTACTCTTCATCACTTAGTACTTCGTCTACAAAGTGAAAGCACATCTCACAGGAGCAAGGGAATGATACACATCATTCAGGTAAGACTCAGACTAGCCATGTAACAGGTCGTCTGTCAGTACAATCCCCTGGTGCCCACATAGCAGAAATAATTGTTAAGAGTTATTTTAAGGAAGGACCTGGGAAAAAAGAAGGTTTGGCAGCTTCTGTCCTTCCTGGGACCAACTAAATATGAGAAGCATGGAGCAAATGCTCATAATGCCTCTGCAGAAATACTATCCCCCAAACCCTACCCGCCCATTTCTTTAATAAAAAGATTCTGACCCTTGTCAAGGGAGCACATCATACCAGGCATATGTCTGCACACGTGTGGGGTTAAGATACAGCAGTCGCATGCAAGGTTTACTCTACTTCCAGAAAGCCAGCCTGCCACTAAACAATGCTCTCCGGCCTTCACTTGCAAAATATGCAATTTACTCACAGAAAGGTGCCCAAATCCATGGGTAGGGTTTTCTAGTAGAGGATGAACGGCACTATCAGAGGGTTCCAGATTAAGCATTACCTGTTTCTCCTCCACAGCAGAAAGGGGGTTTTGAAAATACAGAAAGAACTAGCAGGCAGGCTGTACCTCTGCAGCACATGACACAGAACCAAAACATCAACACACATGCTTACATGCAAAACTAGTCAGTAGACTGTGAGATGCTTGCATTAAATTTTTTTAGAATTAAATTAAATTCACCCTAACTCTCTGTCAGATCCTCAGGCTGACTTCAAATTCATCATAGTAAACACAACTAGAGGACACAGAGGCAACAGGAAAGCTACTTTGCCTTGAAAGGAAACAGGAGAGCAGAATTATGACTAATTTAAATAATTTGAGCTGATAAGGCAATCTATAGTCTTTGAGTAAGATGTTCCTAAGAAAGTTATCGTTCACATCTGAAGAAGCACAGTGCCTGTTTTATAAATTTTTACATTCCTGTTCTACAGTAGTGCCAAACAGAGGGATTTTATAAGCATCTGGAGATAGTCCCTGACTCTATTAGTCACATCAGATGGTTTTCTACTACATTTGCTTCTCTTTCTTGCTATAAGCCACTACACAAGTCACCTATATTGTTTAATTACAAAGCACTCCCTTCTATAATATATACAAACCTTAATAAAGTAGTTTATCCCAGCAACCACCTGAGTCTTATACACTATGGCTTTAAAGGTGTCATATGTCTTGTTCTCCTTGCTTTCAAATTGTGGCTTCACCTGTAGAAAGAAAAAGAAATACGATTGGCAGGTTCATATTTAGGCTTTTCTTTCACATCTACCACTCCAATTTTCATCCTTTCAAACAGAGGCCCTTAATGAAATAAACCCAGAACCCCCAAAATAATTCAGTTTACACCAAGACCTCCAGCCCTCTTCCCTAGCATTACCTCCAGCATTCTTTAAAATCCTGTTAGAATTAGACTGCCTAGTCGATTCTTCCCCATCCTGAAAGCTGTCCAGCTAAACTGTTTCCTGCTCAGTAGGGGGAAACTGCTACCTGGTGCTCTTTTAATTCTTTGTCAAAGGAGCTAGGTACCAATCCGTGCTCCTTAGCAGGGTACACCCTGTGTCAAGCACACAGTTACACAACAGTGCAGGACAGCCCCCCTCGCCTGGAACACCTCCGCCCATGCCAGCAGGGAGGCTGCAGAACCCTGTTCTGTTTCACAGCCTCAGAGCTGCACTCGATCTGTTTAATGTTTTTCTTTAAGGACTTGCAGTAGACAGGGTTATTTGAGAGTATCAAGACAACCACCTGATCAAGTAGTTCCGGAAAGTTATTCTAGTGCTGGTGGAAGCCCTGCAGATAAATCTGTAATTTAAACTAAATACGTCAAACATCTAGAACCGCGTAATATACAACTGTAAGTTAATGGTCCAGGATTAAACTACGTACTTCCATCTCCCAAACTGGAAGTACAACCTTTACATTGTGAGACAGAAATCAACCCCCAGACCTGCATAGACATCATCAGTCCTTCACTACATAGCAGCTGCAAGTCATGTAGTTCCAGAAGAAACAATGCTCTGTGCTGACAGCATTCACGCTCACAGCTCAGGTAGATGTGTTTATGCACAGTACACAGTTTAAGTCCTTGTGGATATTAAAATTCACAGTTCAGACATCTACAGACTTTTCACGTATATATTTTTAAAAAAAAAAAAGTGTAACAGTTTTTCCTGAAACACACAAAATGTAGGGCAAGTTTTAAGTTCAGCAGCAATTACAGTGATACTGTCCTCTCAGAGATGAAATATTCTTATAATTACTAGGCTGAAAGGGCAGAGGGGTAGCGAGGGAGATAGCTGTGAGCAGCGGTGGAAGTCTGGCCAGGTGTCTGAGGTGTAAAACAATCACTGGTACATAAATCATGACTATAGTTGTTTGCATCTGATGAGACAAATTCCCTACAGAAAGGCAACTGCAGCAAATGTAACCTGAAAATTTATTTCTGTCATCTAGAAAGCATAAACAATCTTTTACAGGCTGGGTAACAGCCTCTCCTCTGCACGATGCCCATGCTAATGGCCTGATGCATTCCAGAAGTCGGGCAGAGAAGCGCAGCGTCACTGGGCAGCCGGCTCAGGCAGCCCCCGGGAGGGGCCAGCAGCACGTCAGGGCTTCTCACCACCCGCCTGTTTTGCAGAAGCACACAGAATTAATTGGCTTTCTCAGCACATCCACCTACAGCTGGCTGCCACCCCATGGCATTCCTTCCTAGCAGGCACGTCCTGGAAAGCACGCTAGGAACATCCAGATCAACTACTTCCAGACAGTCAGAAATTATCCAATTCATCATATTCAGGCTCCTCATGATCTCTTACTCTGCTATTCTTCCAAGCAGCTTCCACAAGGTTTCTGTACCAGGGAACCGACAGCTATACTTTCAAGTCGGGAGCTGCTAACTCTAGCACACCAGGGAAACTTCCATTTCCAACCCTCTTCCAGCTGGCTGGGTCTGGGAGCTCCTAGGATGCTCCTGAGTGGCAACATTTGGTACATGTTATTTCTCTCTCAGAACAAAACAAAACAAAGCTAGCTCTCTCCAATTTTACAACCTCTCCCAACCTCTGACCATTATGTCCCCCACTTCTTATTTATTGACAGAGCCTTCAGTAAAATCAGGCAGGCAGACAGCTCCTTAATCCTCAGAGGGAAAAATGTAACATTCCTAAGCCCTTATCTAAAAGCTCCTTAAACCCAAAACATTCCTCAGTTTTAGGAAACAGCTGTAAAACAAGGAGACTGAACAAATATTCCCCAGCTCACTAAGGAAGACTATAGACAAGGCACAGGTGTGAGTAAATAATTATGTAATCCCAAGAGCAGATAGAGCTTGGGCATCTCAAGGTCTTCAGATGCTCCTCACAACTTTGCTCAAATCATATGAATTGCTTCTCTGCTTAGCAGAGCATAAAATCCCACAGAATTGCATCATTAAAGGGTGACACCATTATCTGGCCAGAAGCAAAGCAGGACTGCCCCAATGTAAAGTTTGTCTCCACAAGAATCTTTTCTTTAGAGAACTACACCAAAGCCTCTGCAGTGGAGTATAAGCTTTTTCAAAGAAGGAGGACCAGGGAGAGTGCTCTCCCGCACTCAGCACACAAGGCAAAAATTTCACCTTGCAGAAAATAAAGAACAGAGAATAATTTGTTTTTATTTTCCTGAAGCTACTGAGAACAGAAGAATACCAAAATTAAAGTCAGTCCTTTTCAGGAATCGAACAGAAAATTTGTACATCTGCATTTCAGATTCTGTATTTGCCCTGTACTTTGTGAGAATTAGCACAGCCTGAAACAAATGTTCACATTTCTAAACGCGTGTTCACTCACTGACAGTTAAGCACAGTGGTTTCATCTCTGATACACACTGCAATAGGGTGGGATCTTTTGATCACCCATAACACAGCCTAGCATTAAAAACACAGCTCAGTATCTGGCATGCTACACTGTCCTAGCAGTGTTCAAAGGAGGCCCTTAAGATATTTCACAGACTCATGAGTCAAATTTCACAGCCCCCAGCTAGCAGGAGACATTGCCTTCCCTGTCTTACACGTGAGGAAATAAGAATTGCAAATACACAAAGGTGCCACAAGTCCTTGCCTAGGGTCTCCCCTCCATAGGTAAAAAGGAATTTCTGATCTCTGCAAGTGCTGCTCCTTCAACTACTTGTGCCAGCATAGGATGAACACTGTTAACTGCTCCCAAGCGATTCAATCGGTGTCCCCCAATTTTAGATAATCCTTTTCTATTTCTGTTCTGCAGTAAGTTATCTCCCCTCTAAAAACCTGTTATCACCACCCCCCAACACACACTCCAGCTCTCCCCCAGGTATGCATGCCCCACTCTGGCAACCCCAGCTGTGGCTGACTTATAAAGCCCTACAACAGAAGAAGGCTTAGAGGATCTGGGCAAGGGTCATGTGCCTTCAAAGCTCAGAAAATAATGCAGGGTGTGACTGACGGCAGCTTCTGCAAAGAAGCTGACTTTATCTCAACACAAAGGGCATCAAAGTGTGTTCATTTTAAATAAACAGCTGTATCAGTTGAGTGGATCAACTGGTGGTGTAACTCCCTGAGTTCCTTAAAAGGATGTGAACACCTCCCTAAGTCAGCCAGCCCAGCATGGGAATGTGAGATGGGAGACACGAAAGGAGCTTTCACGTGCCATGTTGTTCCACTCCCACACTTCAGGATACACTTTATACTCTTTTAAAAGCTGCTGCACTGCAGGGCATTAGAGCATCTACAGAGGTGTTGTTCACACAGCTGCTTCCAGGACAGGACCGCTGCCTGTAACCAACCACCACGGCAACTGGACTCACCCTGCCTGCCTTGTGCCAAGCCCATCTTGCCCCACTGGCTCACCAACAGCCCCTGCATCACAGCTGTAGCTCTAGAAAACACCAGATGCCAGTAGAGAACATGCTGTTTGTCCATAGCCTTCTCCCATATCTTTTTTTAGTGCATACTGCCACGTGGTTTGTCCTATCCATGTCCTTCAGTAAGGAATTCTACCAGGTAGAATCTTCCCCCTTCAAATACACCACCTTTAATTTCAAACAAGCGACCTCAGTGCTGGCACAGTAGAGCTCGTCTTTGAACTACATGTAAACATGAACCAAAGGTAGCCAGTACTGTGCCTGGCTACAGACAAGGATGACACAGAGAAGTGGTTTGCCTCAGTCTTACCTGTACGCTGCCTATGCGGAATGCTAAGAAAATACTTACTGGCAATCAAGGAGATTCCCATTTTCAGCACTAGCTTCTTCAGTTTAAACACTGGTTCAGTGTCATCATCTGGTCTCCCAGCCTTTACCCGAGCTTCAGGACTCAGCCCTTTGCACAGAGAGAATTCGCCTTTAGATAGGTCACAACTCACCTGGTTAACGATATGCTGGACTTCTGGAGTAGCAGGCTTGGTCTCAGATAAGCCCCCAGGCATCATCGTGGCAGGTAACTTCTCTGAAGTGATGGGTGGTTCTGAAGAGGGAAGTTTAGCACAGTCTGAGCAGAGTCACCAGGCATCCCGTATATATACATACACATGTGTCATGGAATCACATGACCTGTAACATATGGAGCCTACCATTACTGAACTGGAGGAGGAAAGACATGGGGAAAACAGGGGGAAAAAGCAATGTAAAGCACTGATAATACTAATACTAAATGTAAAAAGCACTCTAAAACCTTAAGTGTATATAGTCTCGAGGTCAATAAGAAAAGCAAACAACAGCCTCCAGCCACCCACATCTTAAGATAGTTGGTTTGGGCCGAAACTAGAACCTCTTGCCTCTCCACCCATGTACAGATGACTAGTCTGTGCACTTAGGAAATAGATCAAAGTCACACCCAGTATTTCCCAACACCATTCAAGATTAGAAGAAAGCATGCAGTAGCTTCCTTAGTGCAGGTCCCATTCAACTTGAAATTGTATTGTCTCAATATCCTACCAAGCAGGAAATAGGAGCAGATTGCAATTTATTTTCAGTGACATTTACTTCCCTCTGCCTGACCAGAAAGGTGCCAAGGTCAACACGAGAACCAGAAGGGGAAAAAATTAAATCCTAGTTTCAGGTAAGTACTGTAAATAAGTTATTTCTGCCTCTTTTCTATCAAACCTATAGTTGCATTCAGGCAATCATAATAACAACTGAATATGCAGTACCATTTACATTTTTATTGAAACTCTAGTGCCATTTCCTGGAAGACAAAGTACGATCCCTCTCACTACATTAGTTGTGTGTGCACAATAGCTGTTCTAATTTCAAGGTACTTTAATTTCACACACTGCTGAAAGATGTAACATGCAGAATATATAGTCAGAAGTATTCATTCTGCAATTACAGTCACAGACATATGACATTGTACATTCATAAATGGTCATGAATATGACTAAGTTCAAAACACGCGCAAGCTACTGAAGAAAAGCTAGCAACTGTTAGCAGCCCTACCCGGTAAGGGAGAGCTAACACTTCAAGACCCCAGAAAAACTACTCCCCTTCAGTATCCTGCCATCCCCCTTCTCCAGCAAATGGGAGGAATGTTGTTCCAGAGCCAGGACCAGGGAAGTAGCGACAGACCAGATAATTTTTAGTCCCTAGGGTGGGTACATGGGAGGGGTGAAATGAGAGTATGTGCTGCGCACAAGCAACGGGCGTTTCTGCTGAAAGCAGCAGTAGGGAATTCACTAGAAACAAGCTAGAAACAAGAACCCACAGCAATGGTGACCATGCAACACAGACTTATTGGCATCCTAGCCAGCCTACTTACTGGCCCTCCTCACAGATGACAAGTGATGCAACAGACTATAAAAAAGTACTTCTTATCTAACTTCAAGGCCTGTTCTTGGCTCAAAGGACCTGAGATTGAGAAATTGGGGCTGTAAGGGCCCTAAACTCAACTCAGGAGCATGTTACCAATAAGGATCTTGCAGAATTTCCCAAACTTAAGCAGCAGTGTTATGGGAGTGGATGAAAGGCATTTGAGGAAAGACAGTTGTCCTGAGACAACATCTTTCTGAACAAACAGAAAAATGTGCCCAGTTCTTGGAAATAAAGGGAATGGGAGGTGTTAAAACTGGAAGTCTGCCACTTTCTCCAAATTCACCGCTCCAGATGAGGAGTTCCTCACAGCCCAATTCATGGAGTTAATTCAAGCTGATGAGCTCAAACTCCAGCTTTTGCACAAGACCCTGCTGACTCACTCAAATGCTGATCATTTTCCACCATGTTCCTACCATGCATCTTATTCACACAGCAGGACAGATAAGCTAACTAACTGGAAGAGCCAGCTCCCCTTACTGAGGCCAGAAGCCACAGAACGCGTCCGACAACCATGCAGCACCAATGCTAAACCAGGATATTTTATAAACTTCTCCACTCACCAGGATGCACCAAATCCTCTGGCAAGGGATGTTGGTAAGATCCCCAAGGTAGCACTACCCCTCTGGAGAACTATTGATTCTGATTAGTAAGAAATACACTGAGCACAAAGACCAGGAAGATTAATTTATAATCTTGGAAAAACTCTAGGTGTGAAACTAAAGATGTTAACGTTGCGTGGAAATCATTCATTGGACTCCACATTCCTGGTTTTTTTGTTGTTTTTTTACTTCAGAGCATAAGAACTTCCCCCCGCCCCCAGAACACACAGAGTTGTGCAGAAGGGAAGGGAAAACAACACTAATTGTTGGCAAGCTGACGCTAAAGTTTACACAGGCCAATCAGTCTGTTTTCTTTCCACAGGAGTGCTAATGGCCATCGCAAAATCCACTGCTATTTCTAAGATTGGGACGTAGTACTCATCTTGCACACATAGTTCATGAAGTCACTTTGAAATGCTGACGTTTCACAGACCTGCTATCAAAGATCATCAGTGACTATGCACTATCCTAGGCAACCCTCATCTACACCTCCCTCCATTAAGCTTTGGATGTAATGGAACAGCATTTGGAACATTGCCTTGAAAAGAACAGCCATCCCCATTCCATTTCTTGCACAACATCTACAAGCTAGTGAGTGTCTCCACTTCAGTATCTGAGACGCGTTTGACATTACATACCATTCCAGCCTACACTCACCATTTGCACAGATGGCAATTTCTCTGCACATAACTGTACTGCTGTTAACTTAGAGAATCTCTGCTGGGAGAACAGTACTAGTACTCTTTACAGTTTTAAAGCTGAGTAATATCTTGCACTATGTACTATTCCAATAATAAAGAAACAAATCTTTACAGCTTGCAGGCCACTACTCTCTGGTCCTATATAAGCAATTTTAAGAAGTAGAAGCTATAGTCAATAAAAACACCAGTACATAAACAAAACAAAGCAAGCAAACAAAAAAACCCAAACCCCAGGGTTATCTATTTATGAGTTATTTTTAAAGCAGAAATTAAGCCACCTCTGTAGAAATTATTGTGAAAGCTAAGTCAGTAGGTCAGTCTTCTGATTTCACAGTGACAAGACACATAATTGTGACTGGATGAAATGACACATGGTCTGCACCATTTTAAGAGCTGCTGAAGGAAAGCAGCCCTCCATCTACCAATTGAAGATCTATTTGTCATCATCACAGTAACAGCCTTGACTTTCAACATGCTAGTCTGCAAAAAAGGCTTCCTCTCCTGCTACCCACTGATTTCAAAAGACTTCTGACATTGTACATCAACTAGGATTAACAGAAACCTGAACTTCAGCAGCACAAAGTTACCATATCCACACGTATGCTGAGCCTGTGGTACCAGTAAAGAGCCTCTTCTGCTCAGTCTGCTTCAAGACAAACAAATCCTATCATTAAAAAATTCTGTAAAGAGATTACCTACTTCTTCATTCTCAAGTGCCTACAGGCTGCATGAGACAATAGCACCGAGTGCCAGAAAAAACCCACACCTCCTTCTGTTTCACAGAAGGAAATAAAAAGTACATGCTTGAGAGGACTTTCCAAGCAAGCAAGATCTGCCCACCTATATTCACCATTTCTGGAAAGCCCCAGAAGAAGGGCAAGCCACCTGCAGGAGATCTAGGCTCTGGGCAGGGGCATCAGTTGTGCTTTTTGTTCAAGTGCCTTTACGTGCAGAAATAAAAGTTAGAACCAGGAAAAGAATGAAATCTTGGTATTTGTGGGATCCATTATTTGATTCACATATGACATCAAGCAGCCCAGTAATTTTGTGACTACCTTGATGGCAAAGTTGAAGCAGGATTCAATCGCAGGCTAAGCACGATCCTAGAATGGACAGGGGTCACTAGACACAGAGATTTTACCTGCCTTTGTTTAGTGTGGCCCACAGCTGATACCAATGCCATTTACATACCATCACAAAACATCCCACTTCACAGGCAGATCTTAAGTACTCAAAAAATAGCAAAGCCGTTTTCTCCTTCCCTGTGCCCCAAAGCATGGCATGCAATACCAGTTACTCACCTTAACGTTCCACTAAGTTCAACAGCAAGATTCAAACAGCCTCTGATCCAGGTGATTTGCCATGTACTGTAAGATATCCCCCTGTGCTCAGAGCAAACTAAATAGAGTAATTCAACTTCTTAGTGCAACCCTCTGTATACAAGCTGCAAACACCTGAAGAAGGGATGTTTGGGACTTAGAAGTCTTCTTATGGTATGAGAAGTTCTTCACATACATGTTTGTATAGATCTACTCATTTGGCCTTTTGTTCAAATGAAAAATAGAGCTATGTTGGGGTTGGGGTTTTTTTTACATAGTTTTCTCATAACAAATGCTAAGCTGAGCTACTGCAAAAAAAAAAAATAATCTGCATATATATCACATCCATTTCACAGGTCATTTTTCACAGCATGTCCTTAAGTGAAGAAGTTTTCCCACAACAGCTGAGCAAACATCTGGATGGATAGAGGAGGACAGTGATTAATTCTCATTACATTCTCTAGTTTCTACAGAAATACAATACAAGCTTAAATTTCAAGAGTATTCATGACAACTCTACACACACTGGCAGAAGTTTCTATCATACAACTGGCTTAAAAGGAGAATTTGTCTCTGCAGTTGTAGATCCAAGCCCTGGAGAGAACCAATATTTTAGACGCCTATATTAGAGGTCAGTATTAAGAGTACCACCTTTGAAATCAAAACTAACTGTTCTCAGCATCTCATTAGTGGACCATCTCCTGTAGAAATTAGGTTACTGGCAATTCAGCACACAGTTCTGAGCAGTATTTGATTTCCACTTCGAGGATAAACAATTATAAGAATTTAAGAGTTGAAGAACAAACATGTTTTCTGCTTTCAGAGTTGCAGAAAAACAATGAGAATACTTCAAGAGTGAGACGAGCGCTCCAACTGGAGTAAAGTTCTGCTTAGAGCAGTTGCAGTACCTTGGGAAAAAAAGGAAAAAAAAAAAAAAGAAGTTTGAACATTAGGATTTACATCCTCAAAGACTTAAAATATATTTCTGCCTCACTGTCAAAGAAAAGTGAGACTAAGTGACTCTGCTGCCTAAAAATAAAGGCCACCAAGTAGTTTGAGTCTCTGCTGGACAAACAACTGTAAAACAGATGATGCTGCACAGATTTTTGCCAGCTGCCAGTAACACAGGTACATTCCTCCATTTACTTCCCACCCCCCGTATATGCACAGCTTTTAGGAATGTGAGACTATATAGTAATTTCAGTGTGGTTACTGAATTCCAAGTGTTTGCAAGATGGGGCCTGTATTTTTAAGGCTCTGTTCAAGTTCAATGGTTCTTAAAGACATATCACTAAGTAATAAAACCAGCTGGCAACCCAGCAGACCTTGTCATTTGACTGTCAGCCCATTAGAGTTAGTAAAAAATCAAGGTATAATTACAGCAATGCTGCTTTCCTCGTACTTAGCCACTTTTAAATGCTGTGTTACTGCAGGTTTGTTGCATTAAAGCTTTCTAAATACATCGCTGTGGCAGAATCCACAGCATCAGGCGTGCACAGCTATTTCTCAGTTCAAATGCAATTCACCTATAGAATTAAAGGTTCAGAAGGAGGGACAAAATAGGGTCACTGGGTAGTTAACTGTCTCATTCCTGAATGAGACATATCATATCCAACCCAAAGTGGTTTTAATCGACACTGTGTTCCCAATCTAAAGACAAAATCCAGAACTTGGTAACGCAGACCAAAGGACAGTATGCAACAGATGCTGCCTGTCAGCATTGTGGGAACAGTGCCAAACCTGTATCCACATGCAACTCTGAACCAACGCTGCTAGTGTTGAGTAGTTCGGAACAATGCTGGTAGCTTCTTACTTTCAGGGATACTGAACCTACACTTGCTGATCATTCTGCAATTCTTATTTCCTTTCAGAATTTAGTAGATTATTGCGCAAACACACCAATTCACTCATAGTTTAGCAAGCACCAGTTCAGGGAGAGCCCTGTCCTCCCTGCTCAGAGCTGGTTTTTACCATTTCTTCCCCTCTAGGACTGCTGTAACTGTAGAAGTTCAAGAAAGATGCCAGTTTCGCATTCCATTTGAAAATTATTTTAATACTATAAAACTCATTTGTTCACATATTTTGTACAAAAGATGAGTTGTTTTCTCTTAATTACAGGAGAATCATTTCAACCTTGAGATTTCAGCTAAGTAGGTCCAAAACAAAACAAGACTGGGTTCTACTGGTTCTGGAGGGTCCCAATACAGCTCACCCAAGGTCTCTTTCCAGTTCGGCTCTCATGGTTATGGACCACCTTGATGGAAAATACCCCACATCATTGACTCTTCGGAGGCTTGTAGTGAATTCGGCAACGCTCATTAAATACCTGAGACACCAAAACAGAAGAGCAAAAGCGAATCAGCCCTCATCCAGGAGATGATCAGAACTTCAGAGCTAGTTCAGTCAACTATCTCTTCACGTAGCACCCATCTCAAGCTGCCCAGCCCTGCTGTACCAATAAATGGTACTTACCAAGGCATCTGTCTCCATTCACCTTCTCTCCTGGCTTTAGTGAATCCAATGTTTGCAGCCTGATGCTGGGGGACTGCACAGCACTAAAAGTTTCCTCCCTCAGATAAGGCAGGCTCATAATCCTGGTAGTCTGTTATCATCAAAGATGCTGGTGCCTTTTTTTTTTTTTTTTTTTGAAAGAGGGAGGGAAATTATCAGTGGAAGGCTCCTGACCGGCTGTGTTCTGTTAAGTTCACTCTGGCATTCAAATTTGGACATTGTTTCTTCTCTTTCCTGAGTAAACACATTTTACATTGTCATGACAGCTAAGAAGAGGTGCAAGGGCTCTTGGAAGCCACGTTCACACTTTTGGTTATCTGACCGCAGGTGCTGATGCTGCCAGCCCTCCTATTGCAAAGGGCACACTGCTCTCACCTCACTCACCTCTGGCATCTTCTCTGGGTAAAATTAAGCACACAGAACTAGAGACTGAAGATCATGTTTATTTAGCTTGAACTGCAGGCCTTGTCCAGCAGACTGCTTACCCTAAGGAGGGCCAATAAATGTGACTAAAGTAAGGCAGTCTGAATCAAAAGCACAACACATAGGCTCACACCAAAGTTACAGGTGCTCCTTACAAGCGATTTAGTTAGTTATCGGTTTGGCTCCAAACTTTGTCCGGCACCATGTCCTGAAAAGCGACACGAGCACCACCTAGCACCAAGTTGAGGCACTGGCGGTTATTAGTTCCCCCACCAGCACTCCTGCAAGAGCACGTTTTGGCGAGCTGTCCAGGGACTTTTCAGATCCGAATGCCTGTGATCGTCAGGATATCAAGTTTCATGAACTCTCCCATTGGCTTCACATGCAAAGTGAGCAGTCTTGTAATTTTGCATAAGTTATGCATCACTTCATATAAATACATTATTTTAAACTGTATCTTCCTAGAATCTTCTACAGCTGATCTTATTCAGAGTTCAGAACCTATGGCAATTTCAGCAAAAGTGATGTTTGCAGCATGCATTTGTTTTAGCATTGATTCTTAACAATTTTTGAGTAATTTTCAACTTCTTTTCAAATTTAATTTAAGAAACAGACATGTATTACAAACTGCTTCATATTGCAGAAAACAAAAGTTGTGATATAGTTTCACATGCACACAGCCAGCCTGTCCCACTACGTTACCACATGCAACAGACACCTCTGGAAGAGTTAAGAGTATGTAAAGGTCTGAGATCAGGTAAGTGATAGAAGGAAACTGTAGAAACTAAAAGCCACAAAGAGTTCCCATTCAGAAGCATTTTAATACTATGCAAATTGCACCATTTTTGTCCATTGTCTGTCAAAGACATTTTAAGAGCATATATGTCTTAAAAGGTACTGGAAATATACTCTAAAACACTGTAAAGGTCTCTTGCATCAAACAACACACCAGCTTGCTATCATGCAAACTTTTAAAGCATTTTTAATAGTAACTCTGCAGCCTATGGAAGGAAGATCAATACTGCAATCTTACTAATACTGCTGCCTACTTTTAGGATCACTGACCTACAGATCTCAGCGTGTTAGTCAGGCCAACTAACTCCACTGGTCTACCTGTGAAGTGCTACTCTCATTTTTCAGACAGGAAAAACACTGCCTGAGAAAACTTAACACTCACTTTGCTATGCAGCAGTTTGATTTTGCTGTCTTTTACATATTAATACAAAACACTCCAAGGATAAACTCCAGTGTGCAGGTGCTGTACAGAGACTAATGCAAGTGTCTTGTTTTGGAAGTCAATTCCCTGTTTGGTATCAGCCAAACAAAATTCCACTGCATGCACTTCTATAAAGCAGCATCTTTCTGTATGCCACTATTGCTACAGCTACCCAGAGTAAGTGTTTGAAAATAACCATTTCCTAATCAGATTTTTCCAATCAGTTTTCTGTTGGTTAAGGTTAACGTAAATACATAAGTGTACGTTCCAACTAAAAGTCTGCAATAGTAAAAAAAGAGTGGAGGTCCTCACCTGCAAACAAATAACTACTCCCATGTAATAAACTGCATTCGGTCCACAACTATGACCGGTTGGTTCCAATTCCTTCAGTGACATATTTTTTATAGGCAACTAAATGAGACATTTATGTCTATATTCAGAGGGTGACAATAGCAGAGCTAGAGATAAAACCCAGAAAAACTTCCTCTTCAAGCCCTACTCTAAACACTAGCAGGCTAAAATATCCCTGCACCACGCGTACCTCACTGTTCATGAACTCTCCATCTCCATCTTCAGGAAAAATTAGACATTTCTGTCACTAGCAAAAGCTTAATGCAGCTACAGGACATCACTGGCATCAGTGCTAAGTTTGGTGCCAACTCTGGGCTTTGGAATGAAGATTGGGGGCAGGGTTTGTTCCCCTATAGCAGACTCGTCATAAAATATTTGCCACTGGTGACCTGCAGCATATTGTTAAGGCTGTGGCGTTGCTTAGTTACATCGGAGCTGGTTTAAAATTCATTAAGCTTAAGGGTATGATTAGCTTTTTCAGACAGTACAGAGGTAGTACTGACGGCAAAGCATATGTGGAAAACTGTAAACGTTCGTCTAATCAGCCTGCATTCAGCTGTATTGTGGTGACTAGACCTCCAAGAATAGGCAAGACTTAAAGCTGTATTGCCCTTACACTGATGCAATCTAGGGGACTAAAGTCCTGAAGTAGAGATTAAAAAGGGAGCTGCAGATTTGCAAAAATCCTTTTTGCATTTAGAGAGGGAAAGAGGCTCTCCATACAGTATTGAAAGCTCTGAAAAGCTACAACAAACCAGAAACGGATGCTAGATGTGAAATGCTGCAGTGATAGAATACAGCAACCTCAGAATTTAAGCTCAGCGTTAAGATCACTTTATAACAAGATAGCGTCTGGGGCCATCAATCCAGAGGGTGATCTGCCCCTTCTCTTGACACAGGAGGGCAACAGCAAGCTGCCCTTTGCACCAGGGAGCATCAGTCCAGGCCTGCAGAAGCTCCATGAGGAAGAGGTTCAACTTCTACAGCCCATCCTCCTCTGGCCTCTGCTCAGAAGCACGATCAGTACCAAACACAGCCAAATTTGAAAGACTCATCTCTCTGACATTGTTAGAGGCCCAGCAAAGCTTTTCAGACAGGCCACCACAGAAAAATTTACAAAGTCCTTAGCCACTGGGCAAGGCAGAGGAAGGGACCTAGACAGGGAGTACTCCACAGTCCTTCTTCCCCCCTAAATCAGATGCTTTTCTTTCCTTTGCAGTGCAACTGAAAAGCTTTGATATCCGCATCCAGAACTGAGGAAATGACTGATGTGAAACATTTCCCCCAGTACTGCCCTCACCTATTTCTAATTAACCTGCCTCACAAGGCACTGGTCCTGCACCTCCAGTGCAGGGCTGTCTGTTGGGACAGAACATCATCACTGTTTTAAATGACTGAGTACCTTCCAGCTTCTGTCGTTTACCACTTCTTCAACATTCAGCTCCGACTGCATCAATTTCAACTGCAGAAAGTAACAGATAAAGAGATTATTGTCAAACAGGCCTCCTTGCAGCCTTCAGTATTTACTACCATTGCAACTTACTAGATCACAACCCCAGTACTAGATGCAAGTCCCCTCCAATGGTGCAAACTGAAGGGCATGTGTGATCATTCCGAAAGCCTGGCCCTTCCATTCAGCCAATACTCGGGGCAGACTGAAGTCTGCAAGGGCACAGTGAAGGCAAACTCACAATGCAAGCCTGGCAGAAGTAGCTCCTGATTACTAATGCTCAGTTCTTAAATATTGCCCATCAAGATTTGCTAGCAATTAACAGATTAACATTAATGGCTTCACAGACAAAAATAACTATGCCTAATTCTAGCCCTTGGAACAGGGAATGCCACTGCTGGGGTTAGCTCTGCAGCCTTGAGTTGTCATTCTTCCACACATGCATTACTAGAGTCATACAGGGAGCTGGCAGCAAAGCTAGGACTCAACACAGATCTCAGATGCTGGATCTAGAATTAAGATCATAAAGAGATCCTTTCCACTTCCTTTGCCGCCTACTCTGTGCACTGACGAAAAAAGGGTCTACAAGAACAGATCACGGATATTCATGCTATCTGAACCAGTTAATATGTTATGTGATCACAGTAGGACAAATCAGGTTTACACAGATGCAAAAGCTCTGGCAAGAACTACCACAATACACAGTCCTTGAGCACTCACTCGACCCATGAGAAATGTAAGAATCTCTTTGTTTCGCACCCATTAGAAACTCCAAGGGGCAGGTATGACAGATGTGTTTAGGTGACCTGCGGTAATTTGACCCTGCCACAAGGCCCTGAAGCAATAGTAGCAGATAAAAGAAACCATCTGCCATTTTTGCCTACCTACATTTAGGATGTATTTTTGTTACAGTCTTTAACACAACAGACTAAGAATCAGAGCTTATCCATTTTAAATGCATGATTCCAATTAGAGAGATGGTGAACAGGTGCAAGCCAAGACAGCAGTTGCATCAAAAACCTTCCAAGTAAGATGTCCAGACACACACAGCTACTACAGTTGTTGGATGGACTTTTACCTACTCAACGGGACTTCAAACTGTTTGAAATGACAATCCAACATCCACAGAGTAACTAGATGACCAGGATTAGTCTCTATAAAATAACCACTCAGAAGATCTGTAGCAGTTCAAAGAAAGGTTTTTCCTGCTGGAGTATGTGAATAGGTTTATGATCATCTGGACTGTGACATCAATTGCCTCTGAAGCCAAGCCTAAGCAAAACTACTATTTTAGCCTTTTCCTTAGAGTTGCAGACCTGAACAGCAATATAGTATCAGTCAACATGGCTATACAGGGGGGGTTGCTGCTGTTTTTAAAACATGCTCTGATATTTTAACAAGCTTTACTAATTCACTTGATAAAGCTAATAACCGTTATGCTGTATGTTTTGGATTTCCAGAATTTATTTGGTTGGATATTTTATGACACCTCATTCAAGTAAACTAAGATGATAACAAATTAATACAATAATCAAGTGATGTTTTAATGTACGTGGATTAAAAGAAGTGACAGCTAGACTGACACTACTCCAAGTTTTCTTATTCAATGACCCCAAAGTAATAATTTTGGACAAAGTCCTCCAATTTGTACCATTAGCAGGCTGAGAGAAACACAACAAGATTGCAACCAAGTGAATATACATTTGAAATGCATGATCTTAAATGTAGGAGGAAGCAGGCACCCTATGGACACCTCAAAGTCCAAGTGCAAATTTGAGATCATTTCATCAAAAGATTTCTGGGATGTTTCCAAATCATGGATTGCTTTTAAGACTTGAAATCACCTCCAATTATTAAACATTATCATTGTGATCCTCCTAGTGGTTTCAGTGATAGGTTTGGGGCTCAGTAATTAAATCATTTAAAGAACTGGCTCTGCAAACAAAATTCATAGGAAATACTAAGCTACCATTGTAGTTTTCCAAACTAAGATGGATGCTTGTTAGCAGTTCCATAAGTGAGGCCTGAAGAATAAAACCACTTGCTGCCACCCGGTTCTTTAAATCTGAGCTCAGGACAGAGCACTTCTCTGAAAAGCACATGAACAAACAGTTCACTCACTCAATGCCTGGGAAAAATCAGATTATTGAGTTCAAATCATCCCCTCAGGAAGCTCTTTTGCTTCAACTGCTCTTTGAAACAGGGGCTACAATAGGCTCCTCTTGGAAGTACAGGGGTAAGTGAGGTAGTTCAGCACCGCAAAAGCAAAATTTCAAGACCCATCTCTTCAAGTCTTATAGGACCGCAGCAGAGAAAGCTGCGCCCAGGATATAGGGCCATATATATATATGTATGTGTGTGTGTGTGTGTATATATATATATATGATGGTAGAACATCTGGCTGTTATAAGAAGAACTCACTGCTACATTGGAAACTCAAAGGGACCATTTTAGAAACCCTGGTTAGACAGCCCTCAACAGAGGAAGGCTCACTAAACTGCTGAACACAACAGATACACCTAGGCAGCATATGCAAAAAAAGCAATAAGCAAGCAGTCTTATTTGGTATGTGCTACAAGCATATGGTATGGAACATGAGCCATACAGAGGCAGGTCTGGAAGAGAAATCAATGGAAGAGTTCACATCCCTACTAATCTCCACTCCTAGAGCTACACCTGCAGTATCCCTTCCCCTACAAAGGGGGCCCTGGAATGGCAGCAAGAACGTCAGCGGGGTTCCTTTCTCCACTTCTGATACTCTGTCTAGATCACCTCTGGCAAAGTACACTTTCCGTCCAGAGGCCAGAAGGTTGACAGGATGTTTTGCACGTTAAAATTCCTTATGCAAACCCAGAAGTCTCTCTCACACCATCACAAGGTACTCAAAAAATTAATCCAAGAAATACTAAACAACAAAAAAGTTGGTTCAGTGGAATTCAAGGTTGCCTGGTAGCTCCTTATAGAGGACGGGAACTCCAGTTAACACACTGAGTAAGATATACTCGTTTTACAAAATCTCAAAGACAAAATGAACCTTCAGGCATTCTGAAAGGACCAAGCAAGCCCCAGGTAAATTGTACACTACGTGGTGTTAGTCAGCAAAGGTTAGAGTCCACCATGGGGAAGTACACATGTTTTTCTACAGCATTTGTGTAATAGGATCTCAGAAAATGCTCCACTTGCAGGATAAAAGCTACTCTGTCTTGAGGGCTAGGGGAAATGGTTCTCACAAACCCAGCCAACAAGAACCTCGGAGAATACTGCCTGAGTCAGGATCCACTCCAGGTTCTCTCCATCACACTGGTCTTTCCATTTGGGAAAGATACCCTCTTCTTCCTCTCTAAGCGATCTCTAAAAAGCTCCACCACTCACCTTCGTCTGCTCTTTCCTGAGTTGCTTTAATAACGCTACGTCATCCTGGGCCTTTTCCCTCTCTTCTCTGAGAGTTTTCACTACACTGGAAGTCTGAGCAATGCAGTTTTTGATGATTCTCTCTCTGCTGGTGTGAGCATCCATCAACTAAGTGGGGAAAGAAAGAACGTCACAACAACTCAGCAGAGAATAAAACCCTCTGAGTTACAAGTTAAAAGAGAGACTTTCTAAAGTCAAGGTATTGCTGTGCCTATAGAAATCCCTTTGACTCTATAGTTCAGATGTTGGAAGCAACACTGCTTTGAGCAGCAGCTACCAACCTGATCAAAAGCCAAAGATACACATGAGCAGGAGTCTTGTAAAGTAGCACAAAAAGCATGCTAGCACCCATTTTTAAAAGAAAGAAGTGGGCTAGGCTAACGCACTGTACCTTGAAGGATCAGTATTGCGGAACAAATTAAGTTCCCCACGTGGTTTTAAACTGAAGTAGCTGTTACATGCATGTGGTTTAGAAGCGTAGAGTTGTCAAGCATGTCAGTTACAGACACATAAAGCATGACATATAAAGGCAGTGGTTTCCTTAAAAACTGAGGATGCTTTACTGGTCACTGCACATTAATAAAACATCAGGAATTGTGCTGAAAGTTGAAGGAGCACACACTCACAGACTGGTACAGCTCTTTACACGTCTGGCCGGCATCAATTTTCCCCACAAAGGAAGCCGTTGGAATCGTAGTGTTTAATTCATGGACGATTCTGTCATCGATCGTCCTCATCACCCTGAGCAACTCCTGTATTAAAAAAAAAAAAAAAAATTAAAAAAGTTTGCTTATATCTCTGAGAAAAGCCTACTACAAGAAAATTTGCACGATTAAGCCTTTTAATAGAAAACTAAGTAGACTGCTTACAAACAGCAAAAAGACCCCGCACCAAACGAACCGTTTCTGTACAGGGGTATGCGCTGCAAACCAACTACTCTCCTTAGCAGCGAAGGCTGACGTGGGAGGGTCAGAACTAGTCAGTGCTGAGTAACTAACAAGGCCCCGAGCCCCCCCCCGGCCCTGCTCGCCCCGATTCCCTCAGGAAACCCACCCACCCTCCCCAAGGCCCCTTCCCCTCCCGTTAACTCTTCCAGGCGGCAAACTGGGCACGACCTGCAGCAAAACGGCAAACTTCAAATTTAAAAAAAAAAAAAAACAAACCAAAACAAACACGGTTTTGAAGGGAGGGAAGGGGGGAAGATGTTTAAGAAGAGGTGAGGTGCCCCCACCTCCGCCGACCCCCTCACACGAAGACCCGCGCCATACTTCGCCTTCCCTTAAACAACAAGAAGGCGCCGACGCCGCGGGACCCCCCCAGGAAGGGGATTCCTTCCCCCCCCCGGCCTCCCTCCCTGTCAGAGACCACCGCGCTCCCGCCGCTGGTGCTGAGGAGAAGGCCGGACCCTTGCCCCCCCACCCCCTTCCCCTTCCCGCCGCATCCCGATCGCTGTGGGGAGGGGTGACCTCGCCGCCCGCCCGCGCTCCCTCGGGGCCGCGCAGCGTTTCCATGAGGAGGAGGATGAAGATGAGGAGTCGGCGGGAGCGCTCTTCTCTCTCCCCCCTCGCTCCCCCCCCCTCCCCAGCCCGAGGCGGGTTACCTGAAACTCGGCGAAGTCCTCACAGCTCGCCGCTCCGCTGGGCGCCGCCATATTAGAAAGGCCGAGGGCCGCGGCGGCGGCCAATCCAAGAGGGGAGGCGGGATGACGCGCACGGCACGGCGGTGGGCGGGGCGAGGCGGGGCGGGTCCTGCC